ATTGTACTTCGTTCAGTTACGTATTGCTAATTTGTGAATCAGCTTGTAAAGAAATTGGCACAAGCGACTGGCTTTGACCATAGATTGGCAACTCCTTATCACCCACGAGCAAATGGCGTAGCCGGGCATTTTAGTGCAAACACATCGGTAAGGACTTTGAAAACTGATCAAAGGTGCTCTCAGGACTGGGACTTGTTCGTTCCAGGTGTGCAACTTGCTATCAATGGAAAGATATCAGAAAGGCATGACTCTGCACCCTTTTCCTCATGTTTTACCAAGGAAGATGAATACCTTCGGTGATTATCGAACCGAAACAGATGTGAGAGCAATGACAGAGAAAGAAGAGTTGCAAGAGAGATTGGAAGCAATGGAGAACGTGGTATTTCCAGCAATCAACGAGAAGGTGTTGGCCATGCTAGAAGCAAGAAACAAAGCCTTCAATGATAAGCATTACATCGTTGATCTCCCTATCAACAATAAGTAGTGGTGATCGTACCAGAGAACGAAAGAAACAAGCTCGATCCTTCACATGACGGTCCATTCACAGTTGTCAGGAAGACACGAGGGTGGTAGTTATGTGTTGAAGGACATCAAGTGAAACTTCTTGGTGGGAATTACGCACCATCGCAGCTGAAGTTGATATCCCAAGACTACGACTTGCCATGTGACGATATATACGTTGTCGATCGCATTATTTGCTCATGAGAGAGTGGCTCCTGGCAAGTACAAATACTTGGTAAGATAGAGCTATCGTGAAAGGCGACACTTGGGAACCCGAATCGTCGTTTACAAACGTACACACCATTCGATTACTGGAAAGACTTGGTGAAGACAACCTGAACCAAAGCCTGAGAACCACGCGTGGAAAGAGAAAAAAAAAGAAACGCAAAAGGCAAAACACGAGTTGGGACAAATGACGCACCTCGCAAAAACCACTCACGCAAAAGACAACGGAACAGCAATCCGAAACAACCCGTGCGTAAATCACTCCGCCTCCAATAAGTATTACATTTTCACACATTCTCATACTCTCTCTTTTCTTCCCTTTTTTCTTACACACTACTTCTTCGCGTTATAATGAACCTGGAGGAGGGTGATGTGGTGAACCAGTGATTAAGATCGGTCATTATCACATCTCAGACAAATCATCCAAGTGAGACATGTCCACTTGTAAGCCAGCATCTCACATTATTCACCTCTCAATCAACGCTAACCCATGTCAACAGCCTGCCATTGGATTAAAACTTTTTCTATAGCCGATGTATAAATACGTAGTTCAGACATTAGATTGATAGGTTGATTCTTTTTGAATATACACGCATTCTCAAAGACTTTCTCGTTACATTTGATATACATACATCACACCAAGCCGAGCACATTGCTCTAATAAAAACCCCACGTTTCATTGTAAAGTTTGGAGATACAGGCACCTTTATGTTTGTAAGCGTGATGCTATATGAAGAGTGGTCTTTGTTCATTGTCAAGTAGGTGGACCTGAGGTGTGTATGGTAGAAGTTGTAGTAGTTCATAGTAAAAAAATCGAGACGTTGTTGTTGGTGGTGAGTGTTCACTTAAAAAAAAATGAGGTGTGTATGGTAGAAGTTGTAGTAGTAGGCGTGGTGAGAGTAAGTGATACTCGAATAGGGAGATTTATTCTTGAGAAGAAGAACCAGGAAACTAAGATTGGATAGTAACCAAGGATAACCATACACGAGCTGAGTCTGGATGATGGGTACACGTGATTATTCATGGACACGACAGGACCCTGGCAGAGCAAAAGATGCAGAGGGTCGTGTTGTGTAACACAGCTACGTTTGCATGAATGAAAGGGTCATTGTATAATTACTTTATGGATCATCTAGGAACAGGCATGTATTGCTAGCTAACGGCCACTTTTATCCAATCATCATTGTTGCGAGATCCACTGCATGGGAACGATGCCCCTGCTCTAGACATTCATTTCCATGATTAAAGTAGGTTGATCCGAGCTGATTTGGCTGAGTTACGCTCACACAAGATTACATCGGTTGAGCTACATCGAGCGTGCTTTATGTCCAGAGTGGTGTAATCTCTCTTTGACCGCAGCTCAGTCAAATCAGCTCGGATCAACCTACTTTAATCATGGAAATGAATGTCTAGAGCAGGAGCATCGTCCACCTACAATAGAATGCACAAAAGTTGGGAATGCACAACAGTGGCTATTAGCTGCCAATGTATGACATAAAAGTGAGGGTTGCGTACCTTTCATGCATTGTCCCTGAAGTCCTGACTTTTTAGCTGAGTTACCCAAAGAGGTCCTTCTGCATCTTTGGCTCTCCAGGGTCTAGCTACTTGGCAATGAACAAAGACCACTTCCCATATAGCATCACGCTTACGAACATAAAGGTGCCTGTATCTCCAAACCTTACAAACAAACATGGGGTTTTTATTAGAGCAATGTGCTCGGCTTGGCCAACTGCACCTTTGGTGCCAGTTTCACGATCAAGCTTGCCAACCCCAGATTTCGCAATGTCACTACCAGCCAAACTGGATCTGGGGGTCGACCTCTTCGACGACGACGACCAAAAGATATTTTTTGGGCTGTTTGCGACATTGAACGCGAAACTTTCACACAAGGTGCTGAGGTGTCGTGTATGGATGTTGTAGTATGAGACGTGGTAGAGTAAGTGATACTCGGTGAAGGTGATTTATTCTTAAGAGGAAGAACAAGGAAACTAAGATTGGATAGTAACCAAGGATAACCATACACGAGCTGAGTCTGGATGATGGGTACACGTGATTATTCATGGACACGACAGGTGCTGTTGGCCAAGCCGAGCACATTGCTCCAATAAAAACCCCACGTTTCATTGTAAAGTTTGGAGATACAGGCACCTTTATGTTTTACCTATGCTGTAAGCGTGATGGAGTTGCTTTTTCCTAGTGGATGGTGTCGGCTGCATTAACGGAAAGATGAAGAGCTGAGTGAAACGGTACGTGGTGGTTACACAGGCACGTCCTTGACAGGTTGCTACTTACACAAATGGATGATGATGATGATTGCCTTTTGTGAAGGTACGTAAGTAAACAGCATCCAATAATGAAGGTGTGTCAAGGTATGCATCACATTTGCATGTAGAAGAAAGTCGAGCTGCATAAACCAATTTGTATATGTAAAAAGATACGTATACATATTGAATGGGTCACTCATCCTGATACTCAATGGAGGGATCTCTTCACTTTTTCTCTTCTCAAGCTCATCCCACTTCCCTTCCCTCCTTATTGTACATCACAAAAGCCATGTACTTCTTGCATGACCGATAACCGGACCACCTTTATTATTCCATCTTCGAAGCAATAGTATGTAATCCACAAGCTAGCAAAGTCCAAGCGTGTAATAAACAAAAAATGCTTTATTTCATCTAACTATCTTGCTACATTGCCACAACCATCGTCGTAGTCGTCGTCCGTCATCGTTCGTACTCGTACTCGAGCTCGCCAGTAGGCGTCAATCTCATCGTCACCCAATATCCAAAGCACACAATTTGAAAAGAGTGTGATCTTTCAGGCTTCTTTTCTTTGAATCTCGCTGTCGTTATCGTTGTCATTATTATGAATGAGGTGATCATTGTAATTGTCATTGTTGTGAATGTGGTGACCATCGTCTCTATAAATAAGAAATCAGGCAAGTGTTTCGTTCATGGGTATGGTTGAATAAGGTAACTGAAAACTGACATTGGTAAGTAGCAAACGATTGCAATTGAATGGAGCTATACAATAGGCATTGTCGCGGGGTTGATGTTAACCTTCTGCTGCCAACCATCTTTTATTCATGCATGGTAGTCATTCGAGTGGAGCATATCTTGTGAGGATCATGAAGTTGAAAACGTGTATGGGGTATTGATTACTTTTCAACAACATATGGAATACAATAATAGGATGGGACATTAATGATTATGGGACACCGAGAAAGGAAGAAGGATAATAAAATCAACAAGTTACAAATGAAGGTGGCATGATGATCGATATTAGAAAAAGACTACCGCTTCATTGAAAACAACCCTAATGTACATCACTATAATTCGGCAGCTAAATCAGCTTGTAGTCGCGTTGTTTCTACTGCCAGCTCATCAAGGCTTTGTTTCAACAGCTTCACATCATCAAATTTGCGAGCTTGCTGTGCTTCCTTGATATATCCTTCCACCAGCATTTGCTGTTCCTGAAATGCCTGCAGCTGCAGCTGTAATTCCTGTACCCTTGACGACGATGCCGATCCATTGATCCTTTTCGATCCATTCCTTTTCTCTGCTGGTTTGAGGATTCTCGGTAACATTTGAAGGGGTAACATGTTTTGCTGCAAGTACATATTGGCTGCTGTACAAACATTGCTTTGAAGACGACGAAAAGCCGATGAGCTCGCTGGAAGCGTCTTGATCCTTTTGGCCAACGCGTCAAATAGTGCAAAGTTGTCGAGTAGGGATTTGCGAATCTTTCCAGCTCGTTGAAACGTCTCTTTGGATTGCTTTGAGATCTTTTCCTTACTGGAACAATTGGTTACTAATCATGTTCAAATACAACGAGCTACCGCATAGTACTTACTCTAATAGTACAATGATATCATGAAAGAGGGGTAACTGCTTCTCGATATTTTGTCGTGTGATGACGAGTTGATTATATAGCTGTACAATGGGTGCAGGATTCATGGCTTCTTCGTATCTAAGCTTTCGTCTTTTTTATCGTGTGAGTCGACGATGTAAACAATGTTGAAAGAGTCATGCTTACCTAAAGACAAGTCGCTGGCATTCACGACATGCTCTGGTATCTCCAACTGGTTCTTGATCAAAGCCCTCTTGAAAGAGTCATTAGCTTTACGAAGACCATGAATGATCCAAAGAAACAAATACCTGATGACATGTTCAAGAATAGGGGTATCATTTTCGAACAACGAGCATTTCCACATACAATACGACCACAAAGACGACAATGATGCTTGCGATTCGTGATTGTAAAAGCACACCTTTTTCGACAAAGTCAACAATGAGCCATGATATCACTTCCTCCTTTTTTTCCCAAAAAGTTCACTCACGAGCATAAAGGACATTGTATCACGGACTTGTCATCTTCCCACTTTGTCACGGTTTGCTCGCCATCTACCATAATCAAGCATTCACGTGAGTAGATCATGCATTGCCTGACAAGGATCACGATGCATACCTCGATACTTCAACTTCATACTTAGGATACTATTCCCACTCGACACAAATCCTGCGCGTGGTGACATGACACTGCTACCAAGACTGCTATCCGATGTTGAATCCGATCGATCCAATGATAAGCTTGCAAGGGATGGACTTGGGCTAGCGCGTTCTATTTTGGCTCCGGTATCAGCGGCATGATGAATTCGAGCGAGCTATTGTATATCAATCAATCACTCTTCCATTACAAATGAAATCCATGTTTACCTTTTCCAATCTCTTCTCCAACCTATTACTCTCGAGATGTACACGATCAATAGCCTTCTCTCGTCTCTTGATGAATGTCGCAGTCAAATTCCTCGTTGCACCATGATGATCAATGTATCCAGTTCTTGAAGCAAAACATGCAGCACACACACGACACCATACGCCGTTTACGGGATCGTGCCTAGCCATTCGATCGAGCTTCATCTCATATTGTGTATGTGGATCGCAAAAGAGTTTGCCACACCTGAAACATTGATATCAATGCCATGTCCATGTTGCTATACCAATGATAGGATACATACTGTCGACAATGTTGCTTGCTGAGTCTACCAAGCGAACGTCCACAACCCGATAAGCTGCATATGTCGTTTGGGCCCTCTCGTTGCCAGTGGTCTCTTGTGACATACAGGTCTGTTTGCTGTCGTTCGGCATCGGAAGCAAAGTAAACAGGGTTGCCGTTGCCGAGATTCAAGTTGCTGAAGCTGTTCATGAGTGAGGGATCGAAGAGTTGTTTCAAAGATCGTTCGACACTACTTCCACCCCCTCCTGGTGAAGACGACGAGGAAGAAGGTGGTGAGCGGGGAGTCAACGTCGTCTGAACTTTCTGTTGTGCTGTGCGGAACCATGACAGTAATGCTCCCTTGGAATCTTCTTCGGTGTGGGCTGTGTCTAGATGCTATCAATGAGGTGGGCAGTTATGCATTAGCGGGTTTGCCATGAAAAGACACGTGTGTGCGTTGTACACTTTACAGTATTGAGAGTTTGAAGAGAAGGACAAGGAAAGTCGCAAATGGGGCATGCGATATCATCCACTGGGACATAGTCTTGGTAATTATACGTTGGTGAACGAGCAATGGCCATAACGTGGGGTGTGCAACGGGGTATGAGTGTTTTCTCAAAAGAAAGTTTACCACGGCTTTCTCATTTGGTGGTGCACAGGTCGATAAGCGGGGATTTCGGTCATGCGTTGACATGAAACAAACATCATTGTCTATCACACATGTGGGGTAAGCATGGTCACTTGTCAGATCACATACCTTGTTTTTCTTTTTACCTCTCTTTATCCATAACACAAGCAAAGCAGCACATGGATGCATCTCACTGCATGAAAAGGAGTAATGGCGTTAGCAATAGCATAATACTTAAGAGAGCGTACATTATGCAGCAACAATGATAGTAGACTAGCTTCTCACATTGTAGTAAATCAAATGAAATCAAACACTGTAAAGAAGTCAAGGTTGCAATGGATGATAGCAGTTGATGATAGAGTGGACACAAGGTACTCCCTTTTCGAGAAAATGATCCGCTCACTGTTACATGGGAATAATACGCAGGGATAACAGGAAGGGGGTTTTGACTATGAGTGTGCTCAGGCGTAGTAGTAATTACCGCCAGGATGAATAGCATTTTGTAATCACCTTTCCTTCTTCCTGCTACAGGCACGAATCGCTGATAGGGCATTGGGGAATCCTTGGCGGACAACAAATGCATAATAAAGTAGGGTGACACATTTGGGAAGGGGTCCCCATTCAATCCTAAATACCCCATCACGGCAGCAGCACAATAATCATTTCCAATCGTGATAAGAGATCAACGTTACCATTATTTCCTTCTTCATCTTGAATGGGTGTTGTTGTATATTCAATATGAAGCAGAACCAGATCCATGATACATACATACCATCACACCACACATACAACAAAGGTGGCTGTTGTTGTTTTGTTGGATGGGGTAGAATACAAAGAGTAAGTGATAGCTCCACCTCCGCATGGATGGGGGGGAAAGCGTTTGTCGAAAATCGCGCCTTTTTATTGTGTATTTCAATATCTTATCCTTCCCCCATTGAGACAAAGGCAATGCACCCTTGAGTAGCAACAACGGCAGGATACCAGAGGGAGAGAGATCTCCGCAGTGTGCAACAAGCCTAACGTCCAATATTAAAAAATGTGCTGATCCAGCCACACCTTTATTCCACCAGATCCCTTGTTTTGGATATCCATCACGTTCTTTCATCCGGGAAGATGGCAATTGTCAATGGATCCCTCGCACGGTCAAAGGCAACACATATGCAATATTATGCCTGAGTGCAACCACAAGTAAATTGTACATGAGCAAAAAGGCTGTGGCACGCAACAGCGTCGTGGTATATTCTTTTTCTTTTCTTCTCCTGTTTTCTACGTTTTTGCCTCCTTCCTCACACTTTGTCTGAGAGCGAACTACGGCCAAGGGGGGAATCACCTTTGATCGTGCAGAAGACCAGGTACAAAAAGATGCGACATTTTACATAGTGTCATATAGATTTCCCATCCAGAAGAGGAGGGGCACAATCATCCATTTTATTCTCACCACATATAAAATAACACGACGACAGGATATAACACACCCTTTCCCAATTGCCTACTACTCCTACTTGTTCCTCGGCCGTCTTTCTCCTTTCTCATCTCACACCTGCTGCTGCTGCGTCCTCCAGTCTTTTAATCGATAACGACAACAATGTCTGCATCATACGACGGCTTTTGGAAGATATGCGATGATAATGGCGTATGTCATTGTGATTGGCGTCTCACTGTCTATGGCTGCGAAGAAGAACAACACATGGTCCCATTCTATATTGCATTGGCAGCATTTTCAGGCCTCGTCGGTACAATGGGTAAATGTCTTTGCATCAACAGCAACAACAACAACAACAACACCAGTAGCAGTAAAATATTGATTCATGCCATCTTACAGCTGCCATCCTCGGTTACTATCGCATCATCCTCTTGAATCAAACCGTATTCGATTGTCGTACTGGTTTTCCTAGGCCCAAGCCGATCGAATCGATGATCGTCTTTGGTACAGCGTTTAACATACGTAAGTGATATCGCTTTTGGCGCCAGTTGCACGTGGACTCATTTCGAATGGCTAGTGCGTATGATCCATGCCATCATTATGGTCACTGATGTTGCTCCCAATGTCGCATTCCGCTCATGTATGTGCTTGAGAAAGAAAGCTATTCAAATAGTCATTGACACGCCCCTCGTTGTTGTCCTATAGTCATGTTTGAATTTCCTTGGCACTTTGGTATTGGCGCCCTGGCATGCTATCTATTTGGCATCGCTCACACGTTGTCCGATGTAAGTAACCATTCTTTTTTCTACCCCCCTTTTCCATCCTCCTCCTTGAGAATGCCATGTGTATTCACGTGTTTTATGTGATCGCGCATGCGTGCGTGTGTGAATAGAGTAACAAGACGGTTTACAATCGCTGGGTACGATCACCGATTATCATTGATGGTGTCTGCTTGATCTTTATCGTGGGCCCTCATTTCACAAACAATGTTTGCTCCATTGCTGCTGGTGTCTACGCTAACAAACAAGATTATGTCATGGCAGAAGGCTTCACCAATGCATTGTACTGGTTCTGGACATTCTATACAGGCTGCTTGGGTATCCTCATCTTATTCGCAGGCCTACGTCTCTTGCGTCTTTTGACACGCCATTTGCATGAACGACAACAAGGCCAAGTTTGTATACGAAAGGTCAAATTAGGAACACTAAAGGTAAATAACAAACTTACCACGTTGATGGATTGTCATGCTTAAAAGGTGAACCTTGTTGGTAGGTCAAAATTATCATCGTGGCTGGAAGTGCCTGCTTGACAGGATTTGCTGTCATCATGATCTTATATGCAGCATGTCGCATTCCTATTACTAAAAACACTGCCGAGAATGTTGCCATTGCCTGTGTTTGGATGTTCAATGGTGTTGCTGCAACAGCAGCTATCTTTTTGGGTATTGTGCTCAAGTACGTATCATTGGATTATCATTTCAGCTACACTATGCATATTATTGACATCTCATGATATAGCCCTAAACTTGCCACACTTGCTGCCAGCTTTGGATCTTCATCGGGTGGTGGTACTTCCGCAAATCGATCCCACCATATGTCAACATCCTCTGGTACCAACGAGACTACCACAGCCACTCAATCTGAAAGCAAATGGCAAGCTACACAACATACCAGCATGGGAAGCGGATGGACAGCAGTCGATAGCAAGCCAAAGTATAGCCTTGGTGACATCAAAGACATGCCTGAGTTTATTACTTCTGGTGGCGAGACCATCCGAAGCCAAATAGACGAGGATCAGCTAAACTACAACGCCATGACAAGCATTGCTCGTGCACCACCTCGCAACCTTTCCTCTACCGAGGATCACCGATATCGCGTAGCAGAGAATGATACTATCACCTTATCCTCTACCACTGGTCTTAATACTGCCATGCAACACAACCACTATTATTAATCCCTATGTGTCATGTTTAATCCATCCGCAAATGTACGCTTTTTTATGTCTCATATACACGTAGTTCTTAGTAAATCAAACTTTTTTGCTTTTCATGGGCGTACATGTCTTAATACCTTGCCCTTTTGAGGATATTTTTAATGACTTATTGTGTATGGGAATTGCACGCGACTAGCATCGTAGATCATGCGGGTATTCTAACCTTCTTTCGGGGGTTTATCAATATACATCGGCATTCATCCAGCAAAAGCTTAACTATACAATACAATGGATCTGGGGTATGTATGATGGAAATGAAAATGAGGGGTAAACTTTATTTTTTAGCATCAACGTTACTAAGCGCACTGACCACGCGTTTTGCAAGGCCAACAATGTCGCCGTCCAAATCATCGGCAGGATCTTCAGGTGGAGCTTGTCGTAAAAGGTCGGGCGACTTGGCAATGCGTGTGACAGAATCTACAATCTCAGATGTACTTGCAATCTTTGATACCAGCTCCGGATCTATTCACAGCAACTTTTAAGATACCTTCCTTTTCCCTTTTCATGCACAATCATTCGACCCACCATTTCCTTCCAAGAATTGCTCAATTGTCCAAACACCAATATGTTGAAGCGCGACGCTTTGATTCTCATCAAGAAAACGTATCAGAAAATGTCGTAAGCCATCCGCTGGTGAAGTCCACACGTCTACAAACGGCGAATAATCCTTGGCTAATATGACAAAAAGTATATTGCTGAGCAAGGTGATATAATAGAAGCACCCCATCACCATGGCTAAATATCATACCTTTTGAACTCAGGTTTCCGATGGCAGCTGCTGAATTGCGTTGCACCTCCATTTTGGTACTTGCCGTCAAGGGCACCAGAACTTGCAAGATGCTCATGCTTAGTAGCTGTGGCTTCAATTCGTCGCTCAACGCCAAAACAGCAATAGCTGCCGTCATCTCCGTTTGTACACTTGCAGGTACACGATGAATCAAGGTACGGATACGTTCCACCGCTCCCGCTTCCACAATGGCTTTCCTGTTCCTTTCAGAGCTTGCCGCAAGATTACGCAACGTTGAAATGGCATGGCATTGTATCTCCTCATTGTCGTCATAGGATAGTAGCTCGATCAATGGATTCACAAATCCTTCCTCAATGATTGGCGACTCGTTGGCAGGATGAATAGAGATATTGCGGATACATGCAACCGATGATAGGATGAGTGGAAGGAATGACGACTTGAGCAAGCGCAACAATGGAGTAAGACCTTTGCATCGAACAATCTCAAGTTGATACTTTTCTATCAATGGGTTGTCAGAGAGAGAGGAGAGGTATAATTCATGCTCCTTTCAATGCTTACCATCCGATGCTAAATTTCGGAGAGCCAAGGCTGCTTGGCATTGTACTTTGAGACTTTTGGTTTCCATCAGGGCAATGAGATATTGAACAAGCCTTGAATCCGTTTGCGCCAGCTTTTTACGGTTCATACCTATGATACGTAGTTGGCGTAAGTCGTATGGTCATGTTGCACCATCGTTCCATAGCATACCATCAGCAGCAATATTGCTCAAGGCTGTCGTGCAATAGTATTGGACATCCGCATCTTGCGAGCTCAAAAGGCTGATTAGCACAGGAATAGCACCCGCGTTCACCAATTGCTGTCGATTATCCTCTACGATAATGATGGGACCAATCATTAAATGGATTTGTTGTTATCATTTACTATACACTTACGAGTATGTGTCATGTTGAGAAGGGCACCTGTAGCATTGCGTTGTACTCGTTGATCCTTTGAACGTGCCAGATCCACTAACAGCCTAAGAGCATCCGACTTGGCGATCCTGACCTTGTTATCATCTGACGTATGTACACATAAAATAAGCTCCCATGCGAATAAATCATTGTGCCGTCCATCATCCATGACTTACCATGTGTAGCAAGGTTTGTGATACAACCCACTGCATTGCATTGAACTTCGACACTGGGGCTTCCCATTTGGCGGATCAATTGTTCAAGACCTCCGAGTTTGACAATCAACAGCTTATTCTCCGCTATAGTAAATGGATCAATATTTGTGTGCGTTGAGCATGAAACACGATTCAGGGCGAAAGGAATCTTCCATTACTTACTATTGACTGCTAGATTTGCCAGGGCAGCACTCGCCGGACGTTGTACTTCCACATCATGCGATTGTAACAAGAAAAGAATGGGATTCAACGTTTCCTTTCCAACTTGAGATACATCTACCATACATACCCCACAAGTCAACCATCAATGCATACACCTTCAGCATCATCCTCTCTTCTACTACCTTTCTCGGTAATTTCAGCAAATGCAAGTGCAGCCGATCGTTGTAAATCCACGTTATCCGAATATGCCAAAGTTGTAAGAGCCTGAAGTGGTTCACCTCGGAAAAAGTTGGTACGGCTGCGATCTACCACGTTTTAGGGGGGGTTCAGTATGGCAACATCATGGCATGTATGTATATGCATATCAACTCTTACTTTCGAGAAACCGTAAAAGTTCGGCTATCGCATCACGCTCATTGTCTTGCAAGAGTGGTTCATAGATCCCATTTCGATGACGTTCTATTCCACAAGAACAAGGTGTGAATTCACCGTTTGCAAATGGCCTGGTCCTTGAATGCCTTACTTCCGAAACAATCCTGACAACAAGACGAGGTACAAGCACCACAGCTACTCGTGTTTCCCATTGGCAATGCCGTACTCGTGGAAGCAATACTGGATGTGAATGACAGAGAAAGAGCAAGGTGAAATGTGTCGCGTTGACGGTGGTTGACACAGGAGACGAAAAGACAAAGAAGCGAAACACGTGAGAAGGAGTAAGCACATGATGGCGGCATGGCGAGGCGGGATATGGCGATCCAATGAAATGTTTCACAATGCCCCTCCAGCAACCCATTCTGCATGATTCTTTGTTATATAAATCCCTCCCTCCTTTGACCTCGTTGTAAGCATACATCAATCATGTCATTCATTTAATACAATAAAGGTCATCCATAATCTTTGTTCATTCTCACAATCACGTTGAGCTCATTGTTGACATCGATACATACAATGACATGGAATTGGATTCATTGTATAACCAAGGATGCACTTATGTCTTGCTGTGTACAAAGGATCCCACAGGTGTGCCTTTGATTGATGACTTTTTTTTACACACAACGTGGCTATAGGTCGCTACATGTAGTACCCGATTCCCTATCCCACCTTACGCTGGCATGTGCCTGGATTTTGTGAGTACACGTGACACAGCATTCAAGTCAAAAGCTGTTCTGCATCAGGTCGACCTTTGATGCCATAATAAGAAACCACGTATAATGAATTAAGGCATGCCATTAGAAAAGGTCATTGTAGTAGTTTCTATCACCTCCATGTTACCAATAACGTACCATAGTCTTGGAAAGGGGATGACTTGAAAACATTTGTGGGATGCTTGTACATCGTGCAAACGTCTACTAATAAGGACAATTACCATCAGGGTGCAGCAAGGTGGAAAATCAATAAACCTACTCAAGAGTGTGTGAGCATGGTGATGTGATTGCACCTGCTGCTAGTGTACTCCACTACATTACCACCTCTTTAGGAACAAAATTTCCTTGCAAGGAAGTGTGAATGTACGAAATCAGCCCATGTGAGTGAAACATGATATACCAGATACTGGGATTGGCAGCGGTGATGAACGAAAGATACATTATGGGAGCTTTTGACAGTTGACGCCTTATTTATCATCTCTATGCTGGGTTCCATTGCACCAATGACATTGACTTCCGAGGATGGCCGATATACAATTCATCTTCTTGTCTTCTAAGAAGAGCGGGAAAGAGAAACTGCTGCTTCCCGTGAGAATAAGTAAATAGGTGTGCCCATAGGACAGCATGGGTGATACATAATACTCAGCAACCGATCATAGGTCAGTCACCTTCTTATCATGGCTCCTCTATCTCGTGAGCTGTAACTCTATCCAAAGATTAGGGCAAATTTTAGAGAAGGCTGAATTAGGATGCACTTCTTGATTTGAACATATTTCCCTGAATGAGCACAAGAGAGGAAAAAAGTTGATGTCAACGTCTAGTGTGATACATCCTGGTGGCAGTATTTGAGTATTCGAGGTATCCCCTAAGCTCACTCTTTGTCAACGCACAATCGGATAGGGTCGGGGATACTCGTGCACGTTGTTCATCTTGTCAATAAAGGCCAACGTATTAATGCGTATGAGATCCCCATCTACTATATAGCTGATGGTCAAATGCTCTCTATTTTAATGATGAGATTGCTGTACCATACATTGGGAACCCCTGCTTATCATTGATCATGATGTCTCAAGCTGCATATCCATGCACACAAACGACTTGAGCTTTTAGCCAGCAATAGCCTTATACAACGATATCCAAAATCAATACTTCTCGTGGTACATGTAAGCTCTTGTTGCCATGTGACACATTTTGTGAGAAAGGTTCTATAAGCACTTCTCCGCTTTAATGCATCAGATCACGAATCGCACTCGACCGAAGGGATGTAGCGCCAATAATACAAAGGAAAACACACACATGGAGTTGTTCTTTTGTAAATGATATCCACCCGGTGCTGTCCCATCTTTAATAGCGCGTTGTTAGGCTGTCGGCATTGATGTGCTGTAGCTGTTTATGGGTGCTGTAGTCTTTGTGTTACATGGCAACAGATGCCTTGGTCGAAAAAGGAGATAACTGTCCTTTTTAGCAGAGCGACCTGCCATTAGTGGCAAATATCCAAAGACATGCTCATATGCAAACAACTTAACAGACTCAAATCACCATTTTTAGGGAAGAAATTTGGTAATACATCCCAATGTAGAGAAAAACTATCGAGGCGCCACAGGTGCTGAGATGATGCATTATTCCGGTCGGCCATAGTGATGTTGCTAGGCAACAGCTCCTCTGTGCAACAATGTTCACACAAAGCCAAATATCGTATCCATTGATTGATGTGCCTGGTAGATAGATGTGACGATGGGAAAAGAAATCGCCTATCAGAACACAAAATCCCATCTGACGATGGGAAGACATCTCTGTGAGCTTATTATTTAAATACCTTGACAAAGCAATGTCACCCAATCCTTTGGGCAACCTTTTCTTCTTTTTTGTTATCATCCCCTTCTTCTCGTTTGCTGTTTGACCCTACTTTCAGCAACGTCATCAGCTTTATTTATGATGGAACATGATACCAAACATGAGTTAAATGAGCAGGTCTCTGCCAACTCGCTCTCTGAGAAACCTCCCACCACTACGCTGCACGACAAATATAACGATGACTATGATGTGGAGCCCATCCATGCACATAGCGAAGATGAAGAAGACTCTCCCATCGAAGAAGTCCGGCTTGTAGTGCCAAAGTAAGTACATGGATACCTCTTCACAAGCATGTAACAAGAAATGATGCTGAACACGACACATCATTGATAGCACGGATGATCCAACATTACCCGTATACACTTTTCGCATGTGGTTCCTTTCTATTATCTTTTGCTGTGCATTGGCCTTTATCAACCAGTTCTTTTGGTTCCGACAAAACGCTATGGTTGTCACACCTTTGGTGATCCAATTGATCAGCTTTCCTCTTGGCAAGATCATGGAGAAGGTTATTCCTAAGTCCCGTTTCTTTAACCCTGGTCCCTTCAACATGAAAGAACACGTGCTTATCACCGTCATGGCCAATTGCAGTGTAAATACTGCTTACGCCGTCGACATCATTACCATTCAACGCCTGTGGTATGGCCAAGACATTGGATGGGGTGGTGGTTTGCTGCTTATTTGGACAACTCAGGTACGCTCGTATAATGTACAACCTTATTTTGTGGCATGTAGCTGATGGTTGGATTTTCTTTTTAGCTCTTGGGTTATGGTCTCGCTGGTCTTTGTCGACGCTTTCTCGTATACCCGCCTTCGGTATGTCAAAAGTCATCATGCTGCTGCTATCCTTTTATCTAATGTGCTTATTTTTATTGATGCATAGATGGTGTGGCCTGGTAACCTCGCAAACATCTCTTTGTTTCGCTCATTCCACATTGCTGACAAGTAAGTAAAGCAACCAAAGTCAATATAAACCAACTCGAATGGCCTCTTTTTAAACGCTATATATACTTTTAGGGATTGGACCGGACCTACTCGCATGCGATGGTTCTTGTATTGCTTTTGTGCCATGTTCGTATACTATTGGTTGCCAGGTTACTTCTTCCAAATCCTCACATTCTTCTCGTGGGCTTGCTGGATCAACACCGAAAATCGCACACTTGCACAATTAACGGGCGGCTTCAATGGCTTGGGAATGTTGGCTGTGACATTCGACTGGTCAACAATTGTCTCATACCTTCAATCGCCTCTTGTGGTGCCATGGTGGGCTATCGGCAATGTTGCTGTTGGCTTTGTTATTGTCGCATGGATCATCTCGCCTGCTTTGTACTATTCAAACGTTTGGGATGCACAAAAGTTCCCTATTATCACTCAAGAGCTTTTCGATAAATTTGGTGAGCCATGGAACAACTCGATGGTACTCACTCCTGAAAGAACGCTCAACGAAACAGCCTACGCTGAATATGGCCCCTTGTACATGACAAGCTTCTTTGCATTTACATACGGCATTGGATTTGCTGGTCTTACGGCTGTGATTTCCCATACCATCTTGTATCATGGCAAAGACATCATCACTCAATACAAGCGCTCACGTGAAGAAGACATGGACATCCATGGCAAGCTCATGCGTGCATATCCCGAAGTCCCTCAATGGTGGTACATTGCTACCTTCATCGTTGCGTTTGGTGTTTCATTTGCAGTGATTTATTGTTGGCCCATGCAATTACCATGGTGGGGTATCTTTTTGGCTGCTGGTCTTGCTGCTTTCTTTGTACTTCCCATTGGCATCATCCAAGCATTGACAAATCAACAACCTGGTCTCAACGTGATCACCGAATTGATCATTGGTTTTGCACTTCCCGGCAACCCTATTGGCAACGTGACCTTCAAGACGTATGGCTACATCTCCATGTATCAATGTTTGCAATTTGTTAATGATCTCAAGCTCGGCCATTATACCAAGATCCCTCCAAAAGCCATGTACATGGTTCAAACAGTGGGCACCATCATTGCTGGTATCATAAACCTCGTAACAGCACGCTGGTTAATGGATACGGTGCCTGACATTTGCACTGACGCTGGATACCCATTCACATGTCCTTCGGCACGCACCTTTTATTCGGCATCTATCGTTTGGGGTGTTGTGAGTCCTCGCAAGATGTTTGGGCCTGGATCAGTGTATAATTCAATGCTTTGGTTCTTCCTCATTGGTTTCCTCCTACCTGTCCCATTCTGGTTGGCACACAAAAAATGGCCAAACGTTCAATGGCTCAAGTACGTTCACATTCCAGTTATCCTTAACGCCACTGGTATGATGCCACCAGCTGTACCACTCAACTTTTCGGCTTGGTGTGCTGCTGGTTTTGTTTTCATGTGGTATCTACGTCGCTACAAGTACCAATGGTGGAGCAAGTATAATTACATTACCTCGGCTGCATTTGATAGCGCCGTTGCTATTGGTGCTATTGTTATCTTTGGTGTCGTTACAGGATCAGGATACACCCCCGACTGGTGGGGCAATGGTGGTCAAGGCGTAAATGGCATGTTTGATAACTGCCCTCTTGCCTTAGCCAATGCATCCAATGACTGTGCTTTATGCTAAATGACTGTATATATCTACGTACATGATAGCCAATTGTTTCCCCCCTTCAAACGCTTTATTACTTCTACCCTTTTCTTATTGATGTAAAATTTTGTATGTCTGTATATAATGAGCACCTTTATTCGCTCCACAAAATAAATTCCTCGCTGGACCTCTTACAAAACATGCTATATCACAAACATCTTTTAATGGTCTTTGTAGCCATTCTTTGTTAATAAACATGGTATCATTGTTAAATGAGAAATGATCAGCATATATAAAAATGTATATTGATAAAGTTTGAGATCTCATAGAAGTTGACATAGAGGAAGGGAGCATATATAGGTTTATGGGTTAACATAGTCAATTGAGCGTTTGCGATTGTTGCACGGTGTAAAGAGCCTTGAGATAAGCTTTGGATTCTTCAATGACTGTAGTAGGTGAAACTTGGCTGGTTCGTATCGAGGGGCAGGCCTTGATGAATCATGAACCTTCCCAAGAAGGCGCCATGCCATACCGTTAGATGTCATAACGATACGCTTGATCCGATGCAATTCTGCAATAAAAGTCCTTTCGAACAGCTTCGGTTCACAAAACTCCACAGGCAAGAAAATAGCATCGATCAAAATGGGGATGTAGACATCCTTCGTCAAGGCGAGCAAGTAAATGTATCCTGTAGTGCCTACAATTGACGGTAGTTAGATATCATTTCCCTTGTAACTCATGAAAACCCAAATGTTAGCTTTACCAACAACATCAGCCGCCATTATGCTTTTAACTTGTCCATGACTTGATTTCACGTCTGCCATGATTGTGCTCCAAAGTAGCATGTCAAACTTGGTGTTTGTGGCCCTATAGAAGATCCAAGAGGATTAATTTGTTGCGAATGTATAATGGAATGGCCCATCGAATACCTTGGCTTTTACCTTCGATCACATCCGTATACTTCGCCAAGTATCTGGTGTATATCACATGCCAGTCGACCGTTTTTCCTTTGCTTGGTGATCATAATGAGGATGTTGAAACATGTGTAAATGATCAAATGATAGCTAGAGAAATAAAGTAAGCATCTCCAAACCACCGCATCAAGGAAAGATTATAAACACCTACGCGTGCAGGTAGACCTGCTCGGGTCATCACATAATCCATCATTTGGCTGTCGGTCAAACCAAGGCCGAAAACATGTCCAAAAGAAACAAACGCTGCTGCTATAGCCTTTTCCCGTGCCTTGAATAATACAACGATGTAAGCTAAGCATTGTTACACGTTACATGCATGTATTCACTCACTTTCGTTCTTGCTGTGGCGTAGTTCTTGTGGTCTTCAACGTGCCGTTGCTTCCTATGAAAGGTGGGATCAATAAGTAAATGAATGCATCATCATGAAATTTGGTCAGCTTACCATTTGGCATAAATGTCATCATTTTCTGCTTCCTGTACATCCTGGCTGTCCCAATCTTGTATGTACTCCTTGTTCACGTTCCTCTTCATCGATGGAAATCTAATTGACATGGTTACCACCTAAATCTTCTCTAAGATCCCATATGCTTACCGAGGATGATGACGATGCGATGTCCAGAGTCTATATGCATGATAGCCAAGAATTGCGCGCCAATCGATTCACAGTGCACCGGTACTCAGACATGCTTGAGTCTTTGGGTTGCTGTATACTTAGATTTGGTTACTGCTGTGTCTCCAATGGCATCATCAGCATCCACTTACTTATAACACCTACAAAGGAGCCCCAAATTTCCCATCAGGCTGGGGTTGCCTTTTGCCTACAAATGTACATCAAGGCATCCTTTTAATAACATACATCAATATACAAACGAAGATGATGGTCATATTTACCACAAAGAAGGATCCATCAAGAAACAAAGCCAAATGTCATTAGGCACCAATGAGCACACCAAGTGATAAAGCAATGAAGTGAGCTACATAAGAGATGAGTGCATGAGTACCCTCTTTTGGTTAAAAAAAACTATCCTTGAGACTTACCAAAGGCCAAATGCATAGAAAGAAAGGGCGAATGATAGCGTTGGCGACAACAGCATTGGTGTTTATTTGTGAGTGGGCGTGAGAAATGTTGTCATGATTGATTGAATTGATAAAATGGTCAAGCATCTTGAAGTACTGAGTCGAAGCGATCGAAAATCAACACCTGATAAATCCGCCCATATGCTTCTTCCACATGTCATCAATCAGCTGGGATGGTAATGGCAATAAACAATCGTCTCCAATAGAGCAATCGAATCGAACGGTCACTGATTTCCTTGTGGTGAATAAGCATGTCTTTCATCATCTTCATCCTCCTTACCCTCATCCTCTTGAAGCATGTCAACGTTTTCATCCCCGTTGATCACTCAATGTAGTACTGCATTCCTCTCGAAACCAGGATCGATCATCAAACGTGACAAGTCCACTCTTGCTCATATTGTCGATCTTCTCGTTGAGCCCTGCAACCATGGTGGGTTTTTGCTGGTTAATTTCTGATCGAGCTTGTGCAATGCCATCTACATGTAATGCGATGAATATGGATCAATAGCTATAGCTGCAAGTCATGTATGATGTAACCAAACCTCTTACCATTCGCATCGGTACTCTTGTATTTATCGATAGCTTTGAGGATCATGCCATCCCAACAATGCTGCATTGTTTCTTTGTTGCCAGGATCTCGACGCATTTCATTGTCTGAAGCTGATCAAATCGGGAACATCCTTGACAACACCACCAACTTCGTCTTGACGACCAATAGCTGTCATCCCAATGTACGTATAGGCCTTATCCATCTGCCGTCTCTTGCAATGCGTCTTGCTTGTACCAATAATGCCACCACTCCATGAAGAGCCTCCGTAGTGCAAACTGATAGAGGCACAGACCACGTTGTCAACTGCTCCTGATGCTGATGTATGAATCCACTGTACTTTGGCGATGCGGTTCGTTGGAAAACCCCTTAGATCTCTGTGTAAGAGGTAGGTGGTATTTCAATACTCAAATCCATTGACGCATTCTCATTGCATTACCTTCGTAGCCGGAATGTCGATTCACACGAGAAGAACAGGGGCAGCACCAACTACGAGTCATGCAACAGATATCAAGGCGTCCGAATTCCCCGCTTGCCAATCACAGAGCTAAATTTTCGGTTGAGATTATGCAGCTCCTATCACGCTGGCATAGTTTAAGAACACCATCATTCATGCACTTATGGCACCTACAAAGGAGTCCCACATTCCTATCAGACTAGGCATCCTTATAATATATAAATGATAGCTGTACCTACCCTAAAGGGCTCCAATGAGCGCTTCAAATGGTAGAGCAATGATGTGTAGAGCTATGTACATGGATGGATGCATGAGCACCCTCATTTTGGGGATCACATAATAAAGACTATCCTTGAGACTTACCAAAGGCCATGGATGAATACAAGTAGAAAGAAAGGGCGTATGACAGTGTTGGTGACAACGGCCTTCTTATATATGTGAGTGGGCGTGAGAATTGTTGACATGATTAATCGAGCTGATAAAGTGGTCAAGCATCTTGGAGAGTACTGAGTCAAAATGATAAAGCTACCTGCGGCTTAAAAGGTGACCTTTTGTAGTAGGTGACATAAGTATGTGCTCTTTTGAACTTCCAAATAGATTCTTTCCAATATGAACATCGCCCGTTAAGTAATGCCATCATTGTGGCATATGGAAAGTTCTCGTGCACAAGGTTAATTTCCAAGGCATTGTATAAGGAAAGCAGTCATTCATGCAAGCATTAAATCCTCCCCTCTCAAGCTCTCGTCTTTGTTGCACAAACCAGTCCTTCTGCGTCTTTGACATTAGTGCTACCAGGGTTCATGACAACCGGCAAGTGCCACTTCTCCACACAGCAACCATCTACCTTATCGCTCACATGTAAAACGCTATCACCCACGAGATCATGCATCGATTGACAACCATGTAATGAGACTATGCATGCCATTTATTGCAGACTACTAGTATACAAAATGTCAACGTGGACGATGCATTATAAAGCGGGGGATGGAAACAACCAGTTGGTGATTTAAGCGATGGGTTAACAAAAATGAAAGCTTGATGCCCCGAAACCGGATATGGTATCTACACGCACAAAAAGCTTGTTAGTTAAATGATGAATAGGATGAGATACCATATTACCTTAGAAATGACTCGGCTACAAGTGTACCAGGCTTACGCTACTCGCAATGGTCCATACACACGAATATAGATCCAGAATGTATGACAATCAACGATCCCATCACTTTCACTTAGGACGTCTTCAGAAGACTACCGCAAGCACCTCCAAAATGAGTGAACCAGCAGATTCCTTTGCCTTGGCTACACCAAAGATCGATTGCTTCTTGACACATGGGGAGGATACTAAAACACAATAAGGTGCGGATTAGCCAAATCCTGAATAGGTGAATGCGAATACTTACAGTGCAGCACCACCAGAAGAAACGCGGCGTCCTTGTTCCATCCGCAGCTGAAGTCGTGTATACCCAGCTGCGTTTAAATTTTGTTGCCATGGTCGGAGAGACTCAGCCTGTATGGTGGTATTGGTTTCCATGCTACGGTTGTCGTTGCCAGGTACTTGCTTTGCACCACTCAATGCATGGGTCTTCAGTGTTACCGGTTCGGTCTTCGTGTAGATGTGTTTCTTATATTATTCACTTCTTCGTGGATATACGTAGTTAATATTGTCTTGTGATCAATGTTGGAGTAGAAGGAGAAGATGAAAATGGAAACGGAGATCTTGCATAGCTACACAGTGAATCCCATTGTTACTTCCTGTCATTATATAGCATCAACGCATGTTTGACTTTATACATTTAAGTACTTTTTATCAATGGGAATTAATAGGGACACCTATCTAGTTTCTGTATTCGGCTAGAGATCACCATAATACATCCATGTTCTTTAAACCAAAGTGTTCCGCCACACACTTATTTTCATCCTCTTATTAGACTTTTATTTATATACTACAAATGGGTCAGCATAACTAGGTTGTAGCCTAAACCAGGAATCTACATTATATCGTCTCTTCCATAAGAACACAAAAAGGACTGATCCATGCAAGCAACAACTCGTTTGTCTCAAGTGACACAGTGGCTTTGTGGCAGCGGAAATGCAAAAGAAAAAAGTTTCTGCGTTGATGGATCTTCCTCTCTTGTCTCCTTGCAAGTCATAATCAGTCAAAATGGGTCGTATGGTAAGTTGCCATTGGCAATTGGACACTTGATGGCACTTGATGGCACTTGAAAAAGAATAGCTATCTCTTACATGTATGAACAAATAGTATTCTCGTGGTAAGGGTATCGCCAGCAGTGCCCTCCCCTATCGTCGCTCTGCTCCCTCCTGGTTGAAGACCAGCTCTGAGGAAATCGTTGACTTGATCTGCAAGAATGCCAAGAAGGGTCTTTCTCCTGCTCAAATTGGTGTCATCCTCCGTGATTCCCATGGTATTCCCCAAGTCAAGGCTGTCACTGGCAACAAGATTGTCCGTATCCTTAAGGCTAACGGTATGGCCCCCGAGATCCCTGAAGACCTTTATCACTTGATCAAGAAGGCCGTCTCCATGCGCAAGCACTTGGAACGTAACCGCAAGGACAAGGACACCAAGTACCGCCTCATTCTTGTTGAGTCCCGTATCCATCGTCTTGCTCGTTACTACAAGACCGCTGGCTACCTTCCTCCCAACTGGAAATTGTATCCTTTTTAATCATCGTGGGGTGTTGTGTGTGTGGATGGGATGGGTTTTCATATCATCATCGTCTATATCAGGACATTGTTCAGAGTTACATGATTATGTTGCTCGGCAAGTGTCCTCCTTAACCATGCTTTTTTTTTGCATTTTCATAGTGAGTCTGCTACTGCCTCTGCTCTCGTTGCTTAAGCGGTGTACGACATTCATCAAGAATCACTGGTGCCAGGCTATCTTATCTTCATATCTTTTTCCATGTCATCATGTGGCTTCAATAATAAAAGCTCTTGTTTCGTATACAACGATGATTGGGTATTTGCAAAAGGAAAAACAAAATGGGTCATTGTATTGAAGTGGTGGGTTGTTGGGGGGAGGGAATGAAGAATAGATAACGATAGATTTCAATTGAGTTTTCTTTTTACAGGTTGGCATGGTTCGCAAGCAATCCCTCTGAAGATGCATTTTGTACATGGCGTGTTGTTTGTGTGGGTGTGGGTGTGTGAGGGTGTTGAGCTATTTTGTGTATCAGATACGTAGAAGCTGAGATGTTTGAAATAAACGTTGTTGTCATTCACTATTACATGGATGCAATAGCTTGATCGACCTTTTTCTTCAGTTGAACTTGATCATTCATGGTACGTGCTAATTCTTCCAAGGGAACGGTATCCAACAAGCGGATGGTGATACGAGGTGCGTGTTTGACACCCGTTGCCTGTGTGCAGAGAGATGATGATATCAATGACGTGTGCCATACAACATGCAATGATTTTTTAATACATACCTTGACACATGGAAACAGCCGATCGCCCAACTTTTGCTTTTGTTCGTGTAAAGTGAGTCCTTTGATAGAATCAAGAAATTGTTGTACACCATCATCATCGCGTGCATTGTCATCGCGACAGGTATCGAGAGCCAACTTTGCAGCAGCAATTTTCTCCTGCAGATAGCCACGATTGAAAAGGCATAAAGAACGCTCTCTGCGTTTGAGGGTTAACAACATGTCAACGATATCATTCACTTCACGTTGTTCGCCACATTGAGTAACAGCTTCGACAAGACGCAATCGTTGGACACATGGGTCAGCGCTAGTGGTAGCCGTTGTGCTTGCTAATGACTCGGGTGACCCACTTCGCATCGTCAGTGGTGGTGGGGGTTGCGGAATGGGAGCCGAGTAATGTCGTACAAGGCTACTTGGGGGTACAGGTAAAGCCGCATGTTGTTGCTGATATCCCGAAGTTGCAATCGCAGCTGCCTGGTGGTGCTGTTGTTGTTGTTGTACTGCTGCAGCTGCTGGTGGTGGCATAGGTGGTAATGTATGTGTGGGTTGTGGAGGTGGATAATAGGGCAACATGGTTGATGAGGGTGCTGATTGTGATAGCAATGCCGCACTGCTATTGTTGTTATTGGAGGATGAAGAAACAGCTCGTGGCTTCTTTGGTTCATGAAACGCAACTACAATGGGTTTACTTTTGATATACGTTTGATTGGTAGCATGCAATGCACGCCACGCTTCCTCAGCGCTGCTGAAACTCACAAACCCAAAGCCTTTGGATTGCTTTGTCGTGGAATTTCGCATAACGCGTGCCGAGATAATCCTTCCATAATGGCAAAAATGATTGAATAAATCAGCGCTTTGTACACTGAGATCCAAGTTCTTGATATAGAGATTGGTGTAATCGATGTTTTGCATAGGGTTGTTTCCCGTTGCTGGTATTGCTGTTGATGGTGCTGTGTAGCTGCTGCTTCGCTTGCTTTGCTGATGATTGATCTATGATTGAAAATACCTTTAGCCTACATGTGTAGTATTGTGGTTATGATATTTACAGGCATTCCGGGAGCTGATCTCGAATACTCCATGTCAGGGTAGGGTTGCTGTTGCTGTTGTTGTTGCTTCTTTGACACAAAAGGAGACACAGTGCTGCAAGAAAGAGCAAGATCAGTTGAATGCACGCATGATGGATGAGCATACAACACATACATGGCATTTCCTTGTATGTTCTTGTTGTTCTGTTAAAGCAAATGCATATAAGTGACAAGGTTCACATGATGACTTTTGGATGGGTTGATCAACTTGCCATATAGTGAACAGCCGTATCAGCATGAATAGCGTCAAAGTATTGTACGAGAGCCGTTCCCTTGAAACGACCTTGATCCATGATAACCTTGCAAAGACTCATAGGACCAAATGGGCGAAAGAGGTTGTATAAAAAGTGGTTGGTTGTTTGCAGCGGTAGGTTCCGAATTTGTAAGATGCCCGATGTAGCCTCGGGCTCCTGACAACCATCACCAGGCGGGTTAATTCTCAGCTGCAGCCGTGTTCCGTTCTTAAGACTTGCACCGTTGAACAACGTGTAAGCACGATCGGCTTGTTCCGCTGATGGAAATCGTAGCACACCCACTGTTAGGTTGATTCTTTTACATCCCAAGCCATTAATATCAACATTGTGGAAAAAGTAAAGCATCACATCACTTACTCGATGGGGCTACAGCTTTTGAGAAGCTCCATCACGTCATGTTCCGAAATACCGGATGCTGTAAAGCCTTCCATGTACAACACCTCGGAAACAAGAAAATCAGGCTTGGGATCCGATCCGGCAACAAGCAATGGTGGTCGCTTCTTATTGTTATTGGTGGGCAATTTGACAATCGTATCGCTGATCATCATCATTGTGTGGTGACTTTAGGCTAAAAAGAAAAAAAAGAAAAGGACAATCCTGCAGCTGTCAATCAGCCTATGTCAATTTAATAGAAGTGGGTCGTTATTATGGTGAGCGGACCGATGCCGAAACAAAGTGCGTGGGTATGGAACTTTTGTTGTATGTGCCACGCACCGGGGCATCGGCTAACCCACGAGGTGCCACTCCGCTTTGCAACACTCACCTTGGTATATGATAGAACGATTCAACAAAGGATAATATTGATAGAACGAGATGGATGAAAGCCGTAACAATCACAATAGAAGAGCTGTGTGTTTCTCAAAGTAGAAAGTAAATGCGTGTGTGTGTTGTGTGTGTGTGTGCACAAAAGAAGAGAGAAGAGAAGAAAGAGATGGAGAAAAGGAAAAGCAAGATGAAAAAGGAACAAAAAAGAGTTGGGACCTATTCAGGGCACATTGGATTGGATTTTGGTTTGTGTGCTCTTTCTCCCTTTGCTTTATTCTCTTTTTCATTTGTTTGCTTTGCTTCCTTGTCACTGGAGTGACGCAGTCTCCAAAAGTTGTACCCCATGATACCGTGCATTCTCTTTAAGTGAGGATGCAGCGAGATCATATCTTTTGCCCCCCATTTCAGTCGCAGATATTCTTATTATGGTCGCCGTGCGAACATCATTCCTGCAGCTCGCTTTAGTGTTAAATGCAAAGTATTATTTTGCTGCATGGCAATCATTTCTCATTTGTTCCTACTTTGCTCTCTCTCTCTCACTCCACATTAAGATTTCTCTTTTACACCCCCTCCCCCAAGACATCCCCTTGGCTCATTACTACCATCTTTGGTAAAGGTCCTATTTTGTGACAACAGGATGGTGCAGATGAGAATGAATCCCTTGCTTTACATATAGCCTTTACCCACTGCTTTGTTTGAGAGGTTCAAAGTGTGTGTTCGCAGCATGTATGGGTTGATGGAAAGCTTTCCTTTGGGTCTATGAAACATATAGCAGTAAAAAGAAAGGCGATGACAGGGCTTGTTACAGAGAGTAACTCCGCCTAGCGATAATTATTAGAAAGGAATTGTTTTTTTATTGGTGCACTTCTCTTTCGATTTCTTTATCGTAAACGTAAGTATTTGATTTTCGTTTGTGTCATGGGTTACGGATGTACATGTGGGAAAAGAATGAAATGTGGGATCGCACAGACATTTTGCAATGCTACGCCCTTATCCTCTCTCCTTTGTTGCCCCATTACACAAAGTCAGTTTATAGCGCCGCATGTTTATTTGACAGATTTTTGTGGTTGTCTTGTACACCTCTCCTCTTTCTTTGTGTCCCTTTCGCCCTTTCTCGGTTACTGTGTGAATTAGTGCGTATGTGGGGTTCAATTTGATTCAATGTGCAAGCGTGGGTGATGTGATGTGAAGGGTTAATGACTTCATTTGGCTCAAACATGTCATGGGAACCAGTAGAGCTGACAGCCGTCTTTTTCTTTCTATCTCACAGGGCAACAACCACCACCCACAACAACCGCCACCCAACATCTTTTCTTCTTTTCCAACTTTTCGTTTGCTCTCCGCTTCAAAGGTTGTTTTGACAGATCTCGCAACATGCAGCCATTGCCGTACTACCAATCCGCCTATCCAAATACCGCGTCTTACTCGAGCAATCCCTCGTACTCGACTCATGGATCACCCGTCCCATCCTCGGTAATGGCTACTCCCAATCCCATGATGCCCCAACCCAACATGACCTCGTTGGCTCATCCTGTTGGTACCACGGCGCCCGGTATCTCCAATGAAACGACGACAGCAACAGCAGCCCCTACAGCCCAACCTCCCAAGCGTAAGCAAGTTAAGAACGCATGCAGTAAGTGGCATAGGATGGTGGTCTTTAAATGAGACACAAGGGCTTTGTTTTTGCTGACAAATGAATATTATAGCCAATTGTCAAAAAGCTTGCAAGAAGTGTGATGATGCTCGTCCTTGTCCTCGTTGCATCAAGTATGGAATTGCTGATACTTGCGTCAACTCGGTGAGAAAGGAACGTAAGAAGGGTATCAAGCGTGGTCCTTACAAGAGAAGACAAAAAGGTAAGGATTCAGATTACACAATAGGTCGATTTTGGTAGTTTAACCTAGTTGGGTATAGATGGTGACTCTTCCTCGACATCCTCTACTCGCAAGGCTGATGATCCATTGATGGCTGGTCAACAACAGAACCCCTATGCTGCAGCTATGAGACATCCTACTATGCCTTATAGTCCCTATACCATGAATCAATATGGCCAACCTACCTATGATCCTTATGGTTCGTACGCTGCTGCATATCACAAGGACCACATGTTGCCCCAATCGTATGTCGTCAACCCGGTGTATTCTTCCTTGGGTTATCCAATGTTCATGCCCACCACTGGTGCTTCGAGCAGTGATAGTCAACAACAGCAACAACAATCACAATCGCCACAACAATCGAATGCCACTCCTGCCACTGCTACGGCCTCTTCAGCTTATCAACATTATGTTGGTTATATGCAGCATCATCAGCAATCCACTTCAAGATATGGTGATCATCTCATTCATTCCCAACAGCAACAACAACAACAGCATCCATCGCATCAAGGCCATGGTTCTACTTCGCCTGCTGCTGCTCATTTGTATTATCAACATCCATCTCAAGCACAGCAGCAACAACCACAACAGCAAGGTCGTTTGAGTCCTCAATTGCCTGATATCAAGAGTGAATCCCATTCGTCTTCGCCTGTTGCTGCAAATGCAGTGCCTGGTAGCTTCATGAAGGCTCAAGCTATGACACCTATCCCAAGTGCCTCTACATCTTCTGGTACAACTGCATCTCCAGCTGAACCCAATGAAGAGGATGCTCGTCTTCCTCAGCTTTGCAATGTGGCTCTTCAAAACAGTGCTACTACCGCTTCATCAAACGATCAGCCATCCTCCAACACGGCTTCGCCCACTAATCCTCAACAACACTCATAATTTATGGTTACCCTTCATCGGCAATCAACATACAAAAAAGCAATTCATCTCTCTCTCTTTTAAGAAAAACAATCAGTAATGCTTCATGTACAACCAACATACACACAACACAACACACATTCACTACACTGCATCTTATCCCATCAACACATTATGTCAACCCATAGCTTGTTCTATTAGCTTCCTCTTTCCCCCTTTTTAAGAAAACACAATAGACTTTTTTCCCATTAGACTATACACTTTTTATTCTTCTAATAATTATTCTAAGCTGATTCAAACATGCGCATGCACAATTCAAATGTTGTAAAGGTTGCACCAGCTGCAGGGATACTATAGAACGTGCGTGTGAGTATTAATAACCTTATTCGTCTACAGTAGCACGTTTGCCCAATTTACCTTCGAACCACAGCAGGAGCCACGCCTCGGTACAGACCTGCTACACCATCCTTGGCAACAATCTCCTTCATCACTTGGGTTACATACAAGCCTCGAGGTGGCTTTTCTTGATTTTGTACCTAAGATGATCCATGTCACGTGAGTGGATCCACTTTCCCCCCAATGACGCATTACAATGACATACCACAGACTTTACAATATCCAATGGGTAGGATGAGAGCCAATAAGCCATACCAGCGACTGATCCGGATGCCATGAGTTGCATAATGTTTGCAGGTTCTTCTTGGCCGTGTGTCAAGTAACGTTTGGTGATTTCAAAGCCAGAGTAAAAACCAGCATATGCAGGAATCTCTCTCAAGATGGTAGCGTAGAGACCACGGAAAAGACCATGGGCAATACCATCCTTTTGAATCAGGTATCGAGCGCAACCAATAGGGCCATGGAACTTGGCACCGCTACCCGAACCATATTGAGCTTGCAACTTGATCTTGAGCAACTCGACAGGAGAAGCAAGTACAGATTGAACAATGCCTGCAGCTGCACCAGCCAATGCAATCTTTGAGATAGGCAATACTTCATCGGGATGGCTTTGCATAAGCTTTTTGATATTTGTGTTGGCGGCAAACAAAAGCGCATTCACAGCACCAATACCGAACAATGGGCTTGCCATGCCTATTCATATACACATCACGTGTCAGGCAAGCAAAATCATAGAACCACACACCTTGCATACTTGCCTTTGTACAAAGCGAGAAAACCTTCATTGCGGATCGTTTGCATGCCACAATCCCAGGCACCCTTGAAACGTGTATGATCAAGTTGCAATCGCACCTTGATTGTGTCTATTGCCCAATGGCGAACCCAACCTCGTCAACAACGTCGTCGTCCTCCTCTTCCCAAGTTATCATCATCAAATCCACTTACCGATAGGTTGACCAACAACTACTTGTGCCATACCGCCCATGCTGCAAACAAGATGATATAAGTATCATGATGCATTATCTCGATCCCTTCCATAGACTCCTCTTATCAAATCACACCCTTATCCCCCCTGATTCGACAATAAACTTACTTGCCTGCAACGAAATCGGCAGCTGCAGAGGGTTTTTTCTTTTCAATAGTCTTACTGGCCATAACTCAAAATACACGCTCAAGGCACCACACACAAAGGAAGAAAGGGAAAAGAGAGAGAGAGAATAAGAGAAAAAAAAGAGAAGCACAGAAAACTCAAAAGAATGCGGGGTGGCGGAAACGGACAATGGTGTGTGTACAACTGAGACAGATTGGTCCCTTATTACTAAGAAATGGTGGGCGATTGGACAAGCGGATTGCGTGCTTTAGTGTAACTCGTCCAGCTGTCGGGGATCGGGATCCGCATAATTAACTCTGCTTTTGATATCCCCATTCAAGCTGTCATTTGCACACCATCCCGATGCATAGTTAGTAATGATCCTACCTGATTTGGTTGTTTTTAACACCATCAATGATGTTAACTCAAGTTTCAAGCTCTCGATAATACATTTCTTCTATAACACACTAGGAGCTTATGACATTGTAATGACGTCTTGAGATTCTTTCAGCAGCGAGATCCTCGATGTGGTGAATCAATCTTGTCGATCTTATGAAGACCAAGTGCTTCTCTTAATGACGGATCTACGCTTTGATTACGTACTAAAAAGGGTAGTTCAGCCGTGTCAAATTACATTCATTGTCAATAAACAATGACTTTTGCATAATGAAAATGTAAAGTCCGAGGATGTCTACAAAGGTGCTTTTGGGTATCATCATTTGCAAATTGAAATCGATTGCTTGTACCAAACATTTGATCTATTTTGCTGCTGTGCATATGTAAGAAGATAAATAGAAAGGTGTACGTGTATCGAATACAGATATATAGGAGGATGGAATGTGGTGGTGATGGTATTTCTATATACTCTACTACTCTTGATGTTGACGTAATTCTTCCGCAATCTCGTGACCTCGTTGTTGGGCAGTGAGGACGGCTTCCTCCATGATTTTGCGAATGTGGTTGGATTCAAGCGAGTTGATTGCTGCTTCGGTGGTGCCTTTGGGTGAGGTTACTTTTCTTCGAAGCGTTGCGAGATCATCATCCGATTCTTGTGCCATACGAGCTGCACCAAGGCATGTTTGCAACGTCAATGCCTTGGCCACTTCAGGGATTAAACCAGCTTTAACAGCAGCATTTTCTATATATCGATACCATCATGTGAGTATGTGTTGAGTCACCTTCATGCCATCCTCCTTCTTATTACTCACGCATGGCTTCCATGATGAGGAAAAAGTAAGCTGGACCGCTCCCACTGATACCGGTAACCGTTTCCATCATGGACTCATTGGTAACCCAGGATACTTCTTTAGCAAACGCATGCATGATCGATACGGCTGTTTGGCGTTGTTCATCAGTGACGGCCTCACTTGCATACAAACCCACGGCACCTTCACCAATAAGGGCTGGCGTGTTGGGCATACATCGCACAATGGCAGCTGTTGCTGTTTTCTCTTGAGTCGCATCGCGTAGCCATTGGACCATATCCGAAGTCGTAATGCCAGGCGCAATGGAGATAATGAGCGTAGACGAATCCTTTGTCAGCGATGGCGCCAACGTTGTCATGACGTTACGAAGCACCTGGGGCTTAACAGCAAGTACAACCACATTGGCACCTTCCACGGCTTGTTCATTCTCGTCGAAACCCACCAAGGTCGGATATTTGCTTTCCAGTTGTCGACGTCGTTCTGTCAAAGGCTCAGTAAATCGTAGATGGGAGCCTGGATGACCACTCGCTTGCAAACCACCCATAATGGCTTCAGCCATATTGCCGCCACCAATAAAGGATATGATGGGATATTGCTGTTTTCCATGTTGTTGTTGATGAGAATAGGTGGAATAAGAGGTGATGGATACCAATCTTGTTGTTGTCGTGGGAATCTTTGGTAGATTGCGTTGTTGTTGATGTAAACAATACAACCAGGAACGAGTAATGGTGGTGGCAGGAATGATGGGTCGTTTGAATAACATGATCGGGAAGAAAAAGGACGTTCATTGTAGCTCCTTGCCTATTTATCCGCTCTTTTCTGTTCCCTCACCCCTGTGTGCAGACCAAATATTAAGCATACTTCGATGTTCTCCTCCAATCCACAATGAACCATAATACACATCCCAGGAATACAATAAACAGCATAATAATGAACTATGTATATTGGAAGGCGTGCATTGTAATTGTTAGACAAAAGGAAAAAGGGGGTATCAGGTGCATTCAAAAAGATCTTCTAATCGTCCTCATCATCGTTCTCACTGTTGCTGTTGTGACCTTCATCCACACGATAAATGTCGTTTCTTGTTATTGCTCCATTGCTATCAACAATATCACGTGAGCTCTCTTGACAACTTTTATAAACATCATACAACACACTTACGCTAATAACGCATTCTCTACAGCTTCTTCCGTAAATGCTGGGCCCACCATATCCACGAACCGTACCAAGTTAGCCACCAAGTTGCCATTCTTGTAACCTAATACTGCAGGTGATCCTACGAGATCAAAATCTAGTTCACGGGCTGACACACGTACAAACTTGGCAAATGCATATTTCCGTGCTAGTTCACGCCAAAAATCATCCAATGTCCTGCAGGCGGGAATGGACTATATAAATCCCCAAGGTCAACATGTATCCATGGCAATCGATACCATCACTTACTTCATCATACAAATGGACAGCCACGGAGACGAGCTTATTTTCATTGTCGATGGTGGATGGATACTCGTCAATCGTAATGTCAATCACTTGGCCAAATACGCGATCATGAGGAGGGCGTTGATTGCTGCGCTTGAGTTCTTCCAATCGTTTCTCTCGATAACGTCGAATGGCGGCATCATCATCATCTTCCTCTTCATTGTGCTGGATCACAAACTCCTTTGCGGCTTCATCTTGCAAGTAGGTGGTGGTGGTAGGTGCCTTAGCAAGCATGCGTGCATTGTATTCAGCTATTTGCTGCGCTTGGGCTTCACGTTGTGTCTTTTGAAAGTAGGCATGATCAGCAAGTACACCTTTGGGTCCTGTTTGGGGTCCTTCTTGTCGAGTTGGAAACGATGACGCTGCTACTGCCTACCAAGTGTCAAAATGTCAACTATGGGTTGTCATGGCAAATGGGTCCCCGCTTTTCTCTACCTCGACATGAGCTTCCTCTTCACCCGAATCAGAGCCTGTATCACGGTCCGAGAGTCTGTCATCTTGTTGCACTTCTTTTTGAAACTGGGCCAGTAGAGGATCTTCCATTCTGATGAGCGTGTTGTGGGATGAAGAGATATACGAATTCTCCGAAGAGGGGTACCCCTTTCTTTTCAGCCGTGCATAAAGCAACCTCTGCTGACGACAAGAATATTACAATACCATGCGATATCGGATTAAGCACAAATAGCTACGTATCATACCAATGGCGCATGATGTCGACATCACAATAAGATAGCATTCATCATATCACACGTGCATCTTTATAATAAACGACCAGGAAAATCGTCCTTTCCAATCCAATGCAGACCTACATAAATTGCATCAACAATAGCATTATACCTTTGACAGGCCAAGCTGATAGCATCAGACACACAATAACACAGCTTGATGGGTGATGAATCATGGCCAAGTTGTGGCACATCATATGACCAAGAGTACTACTACCACTGGTCAATGATTAACATGGAAGGCATTGCATGCGTGAGAAGGAGGAGGATAGCTTGTGGGAACTACAACCGCATGACCACGCATATATAAGCAGACTAAAAGTAAACATGTACCAAACAACCTTTTTCTTTCTTTCTTGAGTCATTGTTCCCATGGGTTTAGGTGCTCTAGTGAAAGCAAATCCTGCGTTAGCGCCGCTGTTTCTCTTCGCTGGAAGTGGTTGTGCTGCTGCTGTTGCGTACGTACAAATTATCATAGCATCACCTAGCTTTGTGCTTTGTGAGTAAGAAAAGTCTACTAACTAATCTTCCGTTTCTTCTATGTAGATATCCAAGTAAGCCTGTTACATGAAACACAAATGGCGGTTGCGCCATAAACTGCCCCATATTGACCTTAAGTATGTTCTAGTGTACTTGCTACGCACACATCCTGAAATCCTTGTCGACCGCAAGAACAATCCCGATCCATGGAACCGTGTTCAGCAGCATCAGAACATCAAGGTGAGTGTCTAAGGATGAAAAGATACCAGCAAAAGCAAAGCTAATTGACTGCTTGATGACCTACATAGTTCATCAATGCCAAGCCAGACTTTTATGCAGCACGCAAGAATATGGAACGTCCCTCACATTACAGCTACCGCCCCCTAAGCTAGATAGTTTCAGAATTGCAAAATAACAACAGCATGCTGCTCCTGTTGTTGTCGTATATGGATAGTGTTTTTGCATATAAGCATGTGTCACATACTATGGGAATGGAGAGGTGCATTAATCTTTTTCGTATGACCCCAAACTTTTTCCCGGAGGTACACTTTTCTCATTTTCCTTTTTCAAATTTACGAGTGGCATTGTCACCATGAAATCGACTTTTCATGATATCGGATATGAGGAAGATGGCACACAAGGGATGATGTCGTATGATAAAAGTGATCACTTTACAAGAATAAAGCAGGCTACACTGGTGTCAATGCAGCAATAGCGCATTGGGTCAACAATCAAATTTTGACTGCAGCTTTCATTGATGCTGCATTTAGAATACTATCAAGGTATTATAGTGTCTCCCACTATCGACAAACGGCATAAAGGTGCAACATCCCTCTTAGAGCTACTATCACCTGCCATCCACAATCACTAGGCACGTATCCATCACAACAATGCTTGCTATTGCCTATGTTTGGAGAGGGCATGTAAAGAGGGTTACTCTAATCGTGATGGCTGCACGGCATGGTAGAGCATGAAAGATCACTCACGATGAATGGTTGACGTGGAAGATGTACGCCGCTGGCTGCAATTGTTGTAGAAATAAACGTGGCCATTGATGTTCGATGTCATGATGAAGAATGAATTGCATGATGTGATCATGTATGCAGTTGCACAAAACGGTCGTACACAAGCATAGCACTTGTACCAGAGTTTGCATGATTATAGTGTCGAGAGCGACAATTGACACCACCCTACAATGCCATCACATGCAAAAATCTTGATTCTTACTGATGCATATTACGAAATGTGTGTGTTACAACAACGCTGTTTGTTCGGCAATGCATCAAAATGTCAAAGATCTCCTACTCCTCCATTGATGACTTCTAAAAGCAAGTAGCCTTATTTTCCCGGTTCAGGGCAAAGTTTATTATAAGCATGCTCCATACAGGGGATATAAGACCGGGCTTAATTGCACATGGTAACTCTCCCTTTTCAGGATGATAGGTAGTATTATTTCATCATCATCGGGATTGTAATGTGGCATGGCAATGAAAGAGGTAGGAAGGATTTCATGCAAGGATTTCCTTTCTTGCCAACCCTGCTGTATTGGGAGGCAGAATAGGTAGGTTTTCCACAAATGAAACAATATGCTTGATCTTTTGCTATTTACAACATCACCCCATTGTATAGAAAAAGGTACGCAATTAGTGTTACTCTGAACGGATCTCCGCTTATATTACATGCTGCTGTTGTGCGATCGTCCTTTGGGTAGATCCACATAGAACACCAAGAATGAAAATAAAGGGAGATGAGGAGACAAAAGACAAAGAGTGCTATGATGGTGGTACAGTGTGGGGGATCCATCTCCATCATCGGCTATGTTTTTGTTTTTTCTCCTGCCGTTAGAAAATGCTGCGAGTTAATAAAGTGATTCATTGTATCAAGAAATTAGTCGAGGAGAACATCATTGTACGTTTTATTGTCACTAGTAAAAGGACAGACATCTATAACCATGTACACGTATCATAAAAAAAGAGCATTGCCATGTCTATGGGATGGTGCGGGCTGTAAAAAAAAAGTTGGTTGTTGCAAAGCGACAGAGGTTGCCAGGCTACAAGCCTAATCGTTGTCGGGACCAGCAGTGCTCAACCCTTTTTCCAACTCTTTGTCTCTCTCCTTTCCTCTCCTTCCCTCGCTCATCCAAAGCGTCAGCAACTCGAACATCATGGGCGCCAATATGTCGAAAGCACTCGCCAAACTATTTGGCAATAAGGAAATGCGAATTCTCATGCTTGGTCTCGATGCCGCTGGCAAAACCAGTGAGTATATCATCATGATGAGCAGTAAAGGGACGATCCCAGTAAATTGAACTCGACTCTTGTTTAGCCATCCTTTATAAGCTCAAATTGAACCAATCGGTTACGACTATTCCTACTGTTGGCTTTAACGTGGAGTCCGTTACATACAAAAACGTCAAGTTCAACGTTTGGGTAAGCTATTCATTCTTTGCAGGCAATGTATATGCAACGACGCGCTGATAGAGTATGGTATACATGTTGTATTAGGATGTTGGAGGACAAGACAAGATCCGTAACTTGTGGCGACACTATTACACTGGTACTCAAGGTTTGATTTTCGTGGTGGATTCACAGGACCGTGATCGCATCGATGAAGCACGCCAGGAACTACAACGCATCATCTCTGATCGTGAAATGAAAGAATGCTTGTTGTTGGTATTTGCAAACAAACAGGATTTGCCTGGAGGTAAGAAATGGGATAAAGGGACCCTGAATGATCCAAAGGAAAAACTCACATGATTGATTTTGTAGCCATGTCCCCTGCTGAAGTGACAGAAAAGCTTGGATTGCACAAGATGCGTGATCGCGCATGGTATGTCCATCCTTCCTGTGCCACCACCGGCGATGGTTTATTCGAGGGTTTGAACTGGTTGAGTCAAAACGTCAAGACCAAATAATTAGTATTTATATACCTCTTCCATCTTATCCCTTTGTGATCACCCTCTATTTCTCTCTCTCTCTCTCGCCCCACTACCAAGTTTAAAATATTCCTTTTCTTTTTCTCTTTTTCTCTCTTACTGCGTAATAGCTCTTGTCTTGCCCTCCTTGTCCCCCCCTTCTTATCACGAAGTTAGTATTGTTACTGTGTTCACTCTCACTCTTTCTTTCGCTGCAAACGTATCTATTATTACAAAACTATACATATGCTTCCATGGAATTATCAAATGGCATACACATTTCGATCGTATTGCACTCTATATCCTGTGATCTGAAACTAGCATGATGTTGCATAAGGTCGCCATGGCATCGTGTGTCACATGACGACATTTCCTAGGCAACGGTGTTTGACAACAGGGACTTTGGATATGATTACATGTAGTGTGACAAACAACGATGGTTCATGACTAATCAATGGGTATGTGCATAGCAACCAAACCATCCAATGGATTACGTTCAATGGGCATTTATAAGCGATAATGGGTGATATCATGATGTGGGCAATGTCATTGGCTCGATCGTTTCAAGCGCACTAAAGCAAGTAGGATGGGGATGTCGTTGCTGCTGCCATTGACCCCGCTATTCTTTATTCTCTTTTTCGACTACACCACCAAAGGGGGTCAAACCAAGACTAGCTCTCTCTCTCTCACTTGTATTCTTTTACTCCCACATACATTCCTGCTCATTATCTCTCGCTTCGCCAATGTGTGTTCGTGGCGAATCGGTCTCCTCAGCAACCGTTGGACGACGAGAATGTATACACTATGCCACCCATCGCCCCTTGTTGATCTATGTATTCATCATTTCACTGGTGCTATTGGACTGCTGCGTTGGCATGGAGTTCACAATGTCTGAAAAGAGACGACTCGAGCTCAAGTACGTTTACAAAGAACAAGAGAAAGACGCAGGCTGTTAACTATATTAAAGGGATACAGCCAAAGTAGGCAACGAAGCTGCTGCTATCATGCACCAACATGTGAGCTGATATACCAACATCAACACGCATTTAGGAAATGTTCTTTCACGGCTGGGATAACTATATTCGATTTGCGTATCCAGAGGATGAGGTATATACATTGCATTGACGGTTTAGGAGTATCTCAATGGCTTATCCTTAACATGTATCTAGTTGAATCCAATGCTGTGTAATGGTCGAGGGAGCGACAAACTCAAACCGTAAGCAGTTGCAATGCGCTAAACACAACAAGCGAATCTAATACGACGAGATAATAGCGACAATATCAACATCAATGACATCTTGGGTGATTATTCTCTTACTCTGGTGGACACCTTGGATACCCTAGCTGTAAGCTTTCTTGTACATGGGGGGGGTTATCACCATACCAACCAAAGTTTTAATTGGATTATCAGGTTATGGGAGAACAGAAAGAATTTGAAAAGGCTGTACGACGTGTCATTGATCAGGTCTCCTTTCATCAAGATAACAAGGTGCAAATCTTTGAGCTCAACATCCGTGCCCTTGGTGGATTGGTAATAAGCGAGAATGGCACATTTGATAGGACCAGGTTTAACGTATCAATGGGTATAGTTATCGGCACATGTTCTTGCAAGCGATCCTTCACTTGGTCATACCATTCCGGGCTACAAGGGCGAGCTTCTTGCACTGGCACAAGATTTAGCTGATCGTTTAATGCCGGCATTTCAATATACCAAGACCGGAATACCGTTTCCTAGAGTAAGTCATATTGCTACTATCACTTGATTCACCACCCCAACCAACCAACCGGTCCTGTTCTTAGGTAAACTTAAAGTATGGTGTTCCCAAGACCGAAACGGTGGAGACATGTACTGCAGGAGCGGGTAGTCTATTATTGGAATTTGGCGTTTTGAGTCGACTTACGGGTAACCCACATTATGAGGTACACATACAAGCCCATTGGAATAGGGGGAAGGAGGAAGGGAAAAAATCATCATGATTGATTGTGAAACTTTTTAGCAAGTTGCCAAGCGAGCATTACATGCATTGTGGAACAGGCGCTCTGATTTAAACCTGCTGGGGAACGTGATCAACATTCAAACCGGTCAATGGATCCATACAGCATCTTCTACAGGAGCAGGCATCGACTCGTACTTTGAATACTTGCTCAAAGCTTATGTTTTATTTGGTGATCCCGAGTATTTGGAGATGTTTGAGGAGTCCTATGAAGCGATCATGCAACACGTACGTGATCCAGGCGGATATCTCTACCGAAATGTACACATGAGCACGGGCGCATTGATGGCAACATGGATCGACAGCTTAAGTGCTTTTTGGCCTGGTGTGCAAGTACTCTATGGCGATTTGGATGCGGCTGTCAAAGGTCACCTCGTTTTTTACAACATTTGGCGGAAGTACCATGCATTGCCAGAACGCTTTGACTTTTATCGAAAGACCGTTGATATCGGTTTCTATCCCCTACGACCCGAATTCATCGAATCAACGTATTATCTTTACCGGGCAACACGTGATCCATTTTATCTTCATGTTGGCGAGATGGTCATTGAAGATCTTAATAACCGTACACGATTACCTTGTGGATTTGCAAGCATTGGTGATGTACGCACCGGCCGACTTGAAGATCGCATGGAGAGCTTTCTTCTCAGCGAAACATTAAAGTACCTCTACCTCCTCTTTGATACAGGTGAGAGACATACATATGCATGCGTGATGAAGAAAACTAATGGGATGATGTTATCAGATAATGAATTTAATGCAATGGACTCTAATTTTGTGTTCACCACGGGTAAGTAATTGAGGATGAGGATAAAGATTTTACATGAGTTGGTTAATTGATCTCATCGATAGAGGGACACTTTTTACCGTTGGCAACCCACCATCTCACTACCAGCAATACTTCTTATCCACTATATGCTCAGCACACAACATGTTATAATCCACACTTTAAATCGTCTCTACATCACTATATTCAACATCCACACAGCATCGACATGTCATCTATTGCCTATCAACCTGAAACCGATTATGCATCTGCTCTTGTTGGTAACACCAAAAACACCATCAAGGACCTATACCCATCTGGACAGTGCACTTCACCTACGGCAGGCATACAATCTTTTGACATTACGTTCAACTCCAATCGTCGAGGTCGATATCGCCATACTTCGCCAAAATTGATGGAAGTTGTTGGAGGTTTTCTTGCAAAATCACTTTCGGGATTAAAAGTCGAGATTACCAAGCGACCTTCAAGGGCAGGTGGTGGCTACCAGGTCACACGAGGTTAGTTGTTTTCCTTCTCCTTCCCCTCTCTCCCTACCTACCTACTTCCTTTAGAGTTTTAGATCCTTCTTCTCTCTCTCTCTCTGTTCCTCACTCTTCTTCCTCTTCTTGTACAAATTTTATATTACTACTACCATCATCACACCCAACAAGCTAGACATTATTCACTCATTTCTTCTCCTTGTATACAACAATACAACTTTGGCATGATCATTCACATCCACAGTCTATCCCAATCTAAGGTAATAATAAGATTGATACCATTTCCATAATAAGCGCTCTGACGTCAAGTTGATAAAATGTAGACTTACGGAAGACCAAATGCTGATGGTACCCATGAAGGAAATGGAAGAATATCTACAAGATGAGGCTCTTGACCTTGACGTGCCTGCTGGTCATAGGACTACCAAGTGGTCCCATCGACATGTTGTGGAAATGCGACTGCAAGGATCAAGCTCATCACATATGTTTGCTGGTGTTGAATCGGCATTTGGACCATCGTTTTCGGATGCTGAGCTGCATAATGAGCAGGCCGTGATTTTCCTCTATCAAGATGATGAGCGACTTTTGGGCTGTAATCCATACACGGATGAAGACAAGAGATTGATCAAGGGACGCGTGTTGATTGTGAGTCGAGGATCATGCACCTTTTCTAGTAAAGCCCTATGGGCGCAAGATGCAGGGGCGACCGCTGTTGTTTTTGTCAACAATGAGCCGACATCGGGTGCATTTCGCGCACTGACGGCAGAGATGGATGCTGACACCAACCACATTTACATTCCAAGTATGACACTCTCTTTGGAAGATGGCATTGAACTTGCAAGTTTGTTGTCGGACACGGAGCTACGCATGGATTTTGTCAAACCATTTGACTCAATGTTATTGCCATTGTCATTCAAAGAACCAGTTAGACTCTTATTGCAACAGGTTCCCGTACATAACTTTGTAATCTTGCACAACAATAACAATCATTGAAGGAATTACCCAATTCTGTTGTCATAAGCTCCTCTCTCACGAACTCATTCACACACGTTATCTCTCTCTTTCTCTCTTTCTTTCTTTCTCCCCTCCACAACCACCGCCAACGCCCCCAACAACTCAACTCTCACACTCGTCCATGCACCACTTGCTGGGTTGTTCCATACCACCATCACAACAACAACAACTACAATAGCAACACTATGGCTTTTGTCGGCAGATTGAGCAACCTGTTTACATCAGTGCAATCGTTTTACAATGAACTGAATCCTGCAACATTGTCTGGAGCTGTCGACATTGTCGTCGTTCAACAACCCGATGGTGAATTGGCTTGCTCCCCTTTCCATGTACGCTTCGGCAAATTATCATTACTCATGCCACAAGAGAAAAAGGTGAGCTACTCCTTCAAAAGACGATGATGGCATGTGCATGCTATGGTTGATATGCATGGATTTGTTCGGACTCGTGCAACACTTGCTTCATCATCCGCTGCATTGTAACGAATCATAATGCTAATACTCAAGATGTATATGTATCAGGTGGTCATCAAGGTCAATGATAGCGAGATTGCGTATCCCATGAAACTAGGAGAGGCTGGCGAAGCATTCTTTGTCTTTGAAACTGAGCATGAGGTGCCTGAAGAGTTCCAGACATCTCCTTTGATGCAGGCTGCAGATACATCCAAACTTGGTAGTAGCAATGAGGTAACTACTTTCTTTTCACACATGAAACGTATACATCTGACTAATGCTCAATCACTATAGGAACCACCTTACCTTGACATTGGCGGTTCAAAAGATGACACAACACATCAACAAGGTAAGCAATGTGATGTTACATTTATAGAGTGACATGTGATAAACTAAGAATCATATTATCCAAACTTAGCAACTACCACTGAGACGGAGAAAGACGACTTTGACGACCATGAGCAAAAGGATAAGCTACGAATACCAGCTGAGTTGCAGTCGCCCAAGATGATTATTGAGGAGCAAATGGATAAGGTGGTTACCAAGGTCGATCCATATCACAAGATGGAGCATTTGGAACATGAGACGGCAAAGCTATCACTGGATGATGAAAAAACTCGACCTCAGCACGACACATATCCGATGGGAGATGGATCCGTACTTCTTGAACGTGTGATGCCTGATGAAGCTGTCACCAGCACGACCATTGCCAAGGAGACGTTTATTGTACGACCTGCAAATGGAGATATCAACAGCAAATGGATGGATGTCACACATATACGTGAGGATGAGAACACACTCCCACAAGATACTACCAAACGTCCAGAGACAGCCCACGGCCATGCTGAACATGAGTCCATTGTTCTTGATATCGCTGGTTACAAAACAGAGAATGAACCCCACCCTAGTCGACCCGTGACACCTAGACCTGAAAAAGAACAGCTGCAATTAGGATCATCACCACCACCAGCATCGTCATCGTTGGAGAAAGAATCATCCAGTGGCAACAACGATAGCACCCAACCAGCTCATGTCGTTGAACTTGCTAGTAACAAAGGGCCCAACAAGAATGAGAATGACACCACGCGACTTGAAAAGGATGATAGCAGCAATAAGGACGCGACGTTGGATACAAAGTTGCAGCTGGAACCTGGTGCCATATATCGAGTCGAGATGAGTTTATGTGGATTGTCATCTTTTGGTCGCGAGGAAAAGGAAAATGGCAACATCTTTAATGAGCAACAAATCACCTACAGCGACTTTGTACACAATCCCAATATTCTCAATGATCGACGTTTGGTATTTCGATACAAAGGAAGATATTTTGGTGCTACGCGAAAAGGGCCCTTGTTTATATCCTTGTTTCTATTCCATGAGCCATTGGATCAAGAAAAGAAAGACGAGTTGCAGAATCAAGAGGAAGCTGGCGATGAAGCCGATAGTCGAGAATCCTATCTATTTGGACGTGGATGGCGTCAATGGTGGAGTCGATCTTCGGTCACAGATACAGGTGGTGGTGGTGGTGATGGTGTTACGCAAGATGAATCTCTTGGCAATAAGGATGATGAAACAACGACACGCTTTACAACCATGACAATGACAACCTCTGTTGGATGGAATGTGGATCAAGAAGGCGAGCAAAATGGATCAGTGTTTCCTGCACCACATAAGAATTATGCAAAGACGCTTCGATTGACATCGGATCAACTCAAAACATTGGGCTTGAAAAAGGGATCCAACACCATCACCTATGAAGTGAGTTCCGAATACCAAGGCACAGCAATTTGCACGGCCAAGATCTTTTATTGGGACTATGACATCCAAATAGTCATATCCGATATTGATGGCACGATCACTAAATCGGATGCATTGGGCCATGTGTTTACAATGATTGGCAAGGATTGGACCCACAATGGAGTGGCAAAGTTGTACACGGATATTCTCAACAATGGATATCACATTCTGTATTTGACGAGCCGTGCTATTGGGCAAGCTGATTACACGAGGGATTATTTACGACGAGTCGAGCAGGACAAGCACCAGCTACCCGAAGGTCCTGTGATCATGTCACCCGATCGATTATTTACATCCTTCCATCGCGAGGTTATTATGCGTAAACCCGAAGTGTTCAAAATGGCATGTTTGCGTGATATCTTGCGTCTCTTTGGTGGACATAATCCATTCTATGCTGGTTTCGGCAATCGTATTACAGACGCTATTTCGTATCGCAGCGTCAATGTTCCCGCTTCACGCATTTTTACCATTGATCCTAACGGCGATGTCAAATTGGAGCTGTTACTTGGATTTCTATCATCGTACATTCATCTCAATGACCTTGTCGATCAAATCTTTCCACCTATAAATCGTGCGATTACTGAAGAATTCAGCGATTGGAATTACTGGAAACAACCCTTGCCAGAAATCAACATCCCTGAGCTCAATGAGGATGCACCACCCACACCCACATCGCCCAAACCAGTGCCTATCAAACCAGATCCATCAGCAGCGTTGCCTAGTGAAACAGTAGTGGAATCGGATGCACAAAAAAGGAAACAACGCGGTATCCTAAGGAGCTTTACATCACGATCCAACAGCACGGATACATCGTCATCGAGATTGGCTGCCATGGGAACGTATTCAAGCTCATCCCCATCGTTATTGAGTTATCGACGCATGTCAACCAGTAGCGGTGGAAGGACAAGTCCCGATTCAATGAGAGGAGCAGATTTATCTGAAACGCCACACTCCCCCGACAATGGCCTACTATCCTCGTCGCCTCCTTTAGCATCATCTCCTCCCACATCAGGCCGTGTATCACCTGCTCCTTCAAGTGCATCTTCATCCTCTAGCCTTGTCAACAAAATGTTCACTGGTAGTCTTGGTGGTGTACGCAACACTTTATCACGCACGTTTGCAACTCGCAAGTCCTCTCTATCAGAAACTTACAATACCACCTTACCCAATGATGATGATGATGATGTCGAGGATCCAAGTGCTACTACTACGACTACGACAAGCGATAATAAGAAGGAAGGAAAAAAGGGCAACGAACCAGAATTCAAGTTTGACATGGAAGACGAGGAGGACATTGATATGGATAGCATTCCCTTTATTTGATCCATCATCTTTGCGTATATATACAACTTTTGCAATAGATTGTTCTTCTTCTTTGTATATAATAATCATGGCTCATCATCATTGTAAAGTGACACATCTTGTAAAGGACATCACTAGGGTGTCGAACAAAATAGCAAACAAACAAGCTTTCATTGCTATAGAAACAAATTGATTGTGGACTTTGGAATTGCTTATGAGGATGGGAAAAAAACTATGTACATGTGCATGGTTATTTGGAATTGAAACTCTCACTCATCAAAGACAGTGTTAAAGGTAGGGCTAAAAACATCGCCACTGCTTGCGACAACGCCATCTTCATCCGATAAGGATCGGTAGGCTTGATGCTGGTGATTATCGGTTGCCATTCCACGCTTTTGCTCTTCAGCATGATGCTCCAAGGTATAGTCGCCTTCCTTGTTGTACAGGACGTTGGCGGCGGCGGTGTTGTTATCCTGCTGATGTTCCTTGAAATGCTTGTTACTACTACTACCACCATGATGGATCGTACCCGAGGAAGCAACCGTATAGGTTCTTGGTGCTAGCCATATTGCAGTACGAGTCAAAGTGAAAGGTCTTTGTGAAAGCACACGGGTAAGCATTAATAAATAGGTGGTGAGAAAATAAAAGAAGAAAAGGTGAAGAAATTGAACAAACACCCACCACCATCTTCAGCTTTATAACCGATACAGTGGGCTGTGGGAGCCAGCATATGCCATCACGTGGGGGGGGAAGGGGAATGGTGGCACTTTGAGAGAACCAAAACGCATAATTTTTCCTTACCATCGTCTCCCGAGGTGAACAAAGAGAGACGACGCTTACGGTATCTGACGCCAAAAAAGCAATCTGCATAATAGTGTGTGTGCATCTCCGCTTATGGTAAGAAGGTAAGACACACACAACATACCCCCCCAACTACAATGCCCTGTCGTCTTTCTTTCTTTTTTTCCCTTTTACTATGGATCAGATTAGGCGAAAAAGTAATAAGCATGACGTTATTCATTCAACCCATTATTAATAATAACGCCATATTGCAGGCGCAGAATTACTAGAGGAAGCACTATGTGACAGCCCTGCACCTGCACATGCAACAGCTGGCAAGTACCATGTACATGTATGGTTGTTGTTGGAATCATCCACTAACGTTAGTATAGACGAAGCCTGTTCAATGGCCAAGTGCATTGAGAAGGAAATCTATGCAGCGAATCACAATCAAATCAACAACGAATACAAAGAGTCGATACGATCCCATATCTATAATCTTCGAGATACAAAGAACCCACTACGACAGCATGTACTTTCGGGATCTATCAGCCCGGCCGAGTTGGCACACATGGTAGTATAGATGCGTGTATGTGTGTTATTCATACTCATGGTGTGGCTACTTTTTAGACAACAAAAGATATGGCTAGCCCCGAGCTTCGATTGGAAACAGAGCAACTACGACGAAGGTCGATAGCAGATTCTATGGAATATGACACAATCCAACCTCGACATCGTGAACAAGATAATCCAGATGAGGATAAACAATAAAAAAAGGATTTTACTAGCATATATAAAGATGACGCATGGTGGATGTCATGGTTACGGAATTCCCGAAACCAAAAGTCGGTGGATGGGCGGGCATTTTGCCTTATGCGTCTTACGCGTGTATTGTATCAAATGACTCGTACAGTGAATATTGGACAACAAAAAGTACAGCTAACTGGGGCCACACCTGATATCGTCGACAAAGTGGTGGCATTCCAACCATTCCAGGACTGGGTGAAGCGATTGGATAAGGAGCAACGCGATCGTAACGATGAAATGGATATCACGTCAATCGAGATTCAGAGCACCGATGTCTTTTCTTCGGACAAGCTTGGTTTCGTAAAGTTCAAGGCCAACGTCAAGTTTAGGGATACTGGAAAGAGTGCGCCTGGTATTACTTTTATGGTAATGTGGATGATGCCATGTGTGGATAGAGCAGGCTCTAAAATGATGTACGCTATATAGCGAGGTGGATCAGTGTCGGTGTTGACTATCCTACGATGTGATGATGAAAGCGACAAAGAGGATCAAATCCTGTTAACGCTACAGCCGCGAATTCCCGTAGCAAGTTTGGCGTTTCCCGAAATTCCTGCAGGAATGTTGGATGGCTCTGGCAACTTTTCGGGCACTGCTGCTCGTGAGATTTATGAAGAAACAGGTGCGTAGCTAGGTATTCCCCTGATTATCAAAGGGGGAGGAGAAGGATGAATATGTAAGGGGGGAAAGGGTCAATGAATGGAGTTAACAAGCTGTTTTTTAGGTTTATCCATCGAAGAACATGAATTGATAGACCTAACAGAGGAGGCGTATGGAAGTCAATGGCAAGGCGTATATCCGTCAGCTGGTGGATGTGGTAAGTTGAGGATAATAAGAAAAAAAAGGAGACTGTGTAATAGTAAACCAACAACTTTATCTATTCATAGATGAATTCCTTCGATTGTTCCTTTGTATCAAACATATGAGCCACGCTGATATCCAAAAATTGGAAGGAAAGCTGACAGGATTGCGAGATAGAGGCGAAAACATCACTCTCAAACTGGTACCATTGAAGGATGCATGGCGAATGGCACCTGATGCCAAGCTGTTATCGAGTTTAGCTTTGTATAATGCACTTAAGGAACAAAATGATATGATGGATTAAAGTTGATATGATTTTATAAAACAACACCACACGCGACAACAGGTGATGGGTTATGCAGGCTAAGGAAACCAATGCATGTCATTGTTGGGGTACCTGCAGTAATGAAATCACCATCACTCTCTCTTTTTCTGGATCTAATACTACTGCATGCATGCTGGTTGATATAATGTACAAAGTAATGCTCCTGCATTCACGTATAAAAACTAAAGAGAAAGGGGGGAGAGAGAGCAAGATGCGAGTGATATACATGTCTTGATTGGAACCAAAGGAGTAAACGCATTCTTTTTCCATTTTTCTTTTCTTTACCTGTTTGCATGTCAGTCCTTCTCAGTCAACCACTTGAACACCAACAACAACAACCTCGTCATCGAGATCCATCGTCCATGCATCTACTACGAGAATGCGATCCGTCAACAGGCCCATGTACTCCTCCATTGTCTCCTAACGATCTATCCTCTTCCACCACTACAAGCAATGACCCCGATTCCACCGATCTTGCTGATCCTTCCACGCCTCCACCTTCACGTTCCAGCACAGTCAAAAAGACAACACAATCACCACTTACAAGCCATATCACTTTACAGTCGTCAATCGATGGCAACGATCATCATCATCATCATCATCATCTACTACCTCCAACAACAGATCACAATAACCAAAAACCCAGCAAGAAGGATCATGCGTTCGACAAGAACAGCATCAGAGACGTTGATGATCCCTTATCAAGACAACCATCCACATCCACATCTTCGTCCTCTGATCAGGTTATAATCCATCGAGTCTCCACCACTGGGAACATAGAGGAACGACAAGAGCATGGAGGAGACATGTTGGCACAGCAACAACACACGACATTGCAACATAAGATATCACGGCCTCCACTACGACCTGGTTACGTTGATACGGATGATGAGGATGATGATAGCAAACAGTTGTCAATTGGCACGAGGATAGCAAAAGGCCATCGTCATTATACCTTGATGTAAGTTGCTGCTCTTATCGTTTATTAGTAGGCTTCCATTGTAACACAGCATAAACCCAATTTAGGTATGACATGTTGACAGGCATTCGAATTGCGGTAAGTCAATTGGATTATGGGTACTTGAGGAGATGGGACACTAAAACCCTTTGCTTTTCAGGTGGGTCGAGTTTCTGCCAAACTTTGGAGAGACCTCTCTGATCAAGACTTTCGAGCGGCGCATAAGCTGGTGTTTGATGTGTGAGTCTTTTTTCTCTTTTTCTCCTTCATCCACATGATACAACCTTCCCCCTCCCCCTTTTCTTTATGGCGTCAAATTGCAGTTATCTCATTTGTCCAAACAAACATGGGTTGCTCCTACTTTCAGTACAGGCAATGAATTGACACCAGGCGTCAAGTACGATTTCAAATTCAAGGATTATGCCCCTTGGGTATTTCGCCATTTGCGTGAACGTTTTCGAGTAGACGCAGCGGATTACATGGTATGAGCAGTTTGATGCATGCATTGTTAAAACGAACATGGTTAATTGACAGCATTGCTTTGTAGATGTCCTTAACGAACAAGTACATCCTATCTGAATTATCATCACCTGGCAAGAGCAAGAGCTTCTTTTATTACTCAAGAGATTGCCGATTCATTATCAAGACCATTCATCACGTTGAACACCGTTTCTTGCGTCGTATCCTAAAGCAGTACTATAATGTAAGTACGCGGACATGGGTGGGATGAGAGGTCTTTGTATTGACATGTCATATCGTAATAGCATGTATGTGACAACCCAAACACGCTCTTGTCCCGTTTTTATGGATTGCATCGCATCAAGTTGCCACGTGGCCGCAAGATTCACTTTATCGTCATGGGCAATGTTTTTCCAGCAACCAAGGATCTGCATCTCGTCTTTGATTTGAAGGGGTCAACATTTGGAAGGTTTACACCTGAAGAACGGCTAGCAACCAATCCCATGACCGTGCTCAAAGATCAAAATTGGATTGCACGCTCACAAAAGCTTCGACTTGGTCCTGAAAAGAGAAACCTTTTTATCCAGCAATTGGAGCGTGATATCGCAGTGAGTGTTTGGGATGCTTTGGGATGTTACCAAAGGTACTAATTATGCTGGTTGTCGTGGTAGCTGTTAACCGACATGAACATTATGGATTACAGCATGCTGGTTGGCATCCATGATATGGAACGTGGGAATGGTGAAGACCCTGAAGACCAACATTTGCACATAGTTAGGGTATGTAGTTTTACAAAGGGGTAAGGATGATATCGTGTATTGATCAAGTATGCTCTAGACCGAACATATGGGACCTGCTGATGGGACTCGCCGTGAAAGCAAGGCAACGTTTGTCCGCAATGCATTGAAGAATACAAATTCACGCCTCTTGGACAAAAAGGAACTGCCAAAAAGGTTATCGATGGAGTATGTATTATAGTAATGGTGGCTATTATCTATTTACTGACGAGTGAACGGATTTGATATAGGCGGAAGCATTGTGTGTTTTATGCAGACGATGGTGGTTTCCAGGCAACCAACGATGACAACCAATCCGAGAACTTGATATACTTTGTTGGCATCATTGACATACTCACGCCATACAACAAGCTGAAAAAGACGGAGCATCTTTGGAAAAGTATTACTCAAGATAAGGTAAATATCGAGTGGTGGTTGTATGTTGTGCGTGAGAGGAGGCGAGTTTTTAAACGTTGACTTTTATTAGCATACCATATCTTCCGTGCCTGCTGGCGAGTACGGGGAACGCTTTATGCATTTTATGAAGCACGCTGTGACACAATAATCTCTTCTTGGCCATCACCATCATCATCTTCTTACATGTTCATCATATACAGCACCCACTTTTATAATCCATTCATCCCTTGATGCCAATACCATCATAATCATGACATTCCTTTCCATCAATTCATTTCATCCTTGCATGTTGCATTCTTCTGATAAAGCATTTTAATTGTTTTGCATTGATACATACTATTGATCCTTGTCATCGAATTGCATATTGCAGCTATAGATACTCCTATGCATTTACATCCATTCTTACCTAGCTATCCACCACAGCTATACAAACCTGACGTTGCCATAGTTGCACCATGATACCAATCCTCTTTTTGTTACAACGCCCATTGTCAACAGGCAACTGAGCAGGTTTCCTCCCGAATAAAGAACCTACAAATGCGTCTCAGGCAATCTCAATTCCGAGTCCAATGGGTTGCATGGGTGTTGTCATCGGTTGTTGCCATGGCTGGAATCGTGTCAATACGCGTAAAAGTAAAGCTGACCTGAGGCTCGAGATTTCAGCATGCGTCTTCAATTCTGAGTTCTAAATCCGGCCCAAATGCCTGCGGGCCTTGGGCACTTGTGATTTGCCAACGACATTGAAATCTCTTTTGATGCCCATTGCTATTTCCTGATCCTCCCAAATGATTCATTGATGCTTGATATTTCATCAGCATGCCTTCCGCTTCAGAATGATATACATAACATATCACTTTTATGCCGTTTTTGACCATTTTTTACCTTCTATATATGGAAATTTTTGCGCCCGCCAGTCTGTTTCACATTTTTTTGAAAATGGGGTAGTAGCTCAAATGGTAGAGCGCTCGCTTCGCATGCGAGAGGTACCGTGATCGATACACGGCTATTCCATTTGTTTTGCAACAACTCCATTTTTGGAGTAAACCACGTGACCTGGAGCAAGTTGGCTTCTTGAAGTAACTTTTGTCGTTGATAAATCGTTAGGATGTCATTTTATGATGAACATCTCTTAAAAGCATGGATGCAAATTAGTGAAATCGCTAAGTACAAGAGAGACAAAGCAATCATTTCAAAGCTCATAATCCCTGTATGGATCATCGCATCATGTAATAGGGCAATGAAATTGCATGTATGAAGAGTCATCGAGAAGGCATGTATAAGTGTATCCAAAATCCATCACAAAAGTAATGGCATAGGATGTCATGTAAGGCATAATGGCTGGCACCAGTAATGCAGGTGATCGGGATTGGGAGGAAGAAGAAGCGGAGATTATCCCACCATATATTTTTTTGTTGGCCCTGTCTGCTCTTTCTTTGTTTTCGCTCTTTTTCGTTTTCTACTATGCAAGAAGAAAAGACCCCAACGACGTTGGTTGACAAACTTGCTCAATCGCCTTATCCGATATGGTCACTTTCAGCATTAAGTAAGCGCCTTGCATCCACAACGATATGAACGAAAATCTGAAAAGACAAACCAGCTGACTGATGTTGCTGCTGAAAGCATGTGCGAGTTTACCATACTCTGTCAAAAAGATACCCGGCATGCCATCCATGTTCCAAACCATGGCATTCACTGCCATTTTTGCAGGTGCAGGGTAAAGACCGTGATTAATGTATCGACGATCCATCAAAGTACTCAAAGGATGCTAGCTATGTAACACATGTAGGGGACGCCGAAAATGGTGCAGGCATCGCAACGGGTGAGTTTGGGTCCATGAACGTTACCATCATCAGTTGGCACTAATACACGATCGCATGAATCTTCATAGCATGGTGTTTGTCATGGTCATTTTTAAATGCACGAAAAGCGATCACATCGATGAAGCCCTTACCAATCGCACTTTTCACTGCTGTTGCAGCAAACACTGTTATATACGGCAAAAAGACACTCGAAGTCAATGGCTACATTTAGAGGATGGAAATAAAACGAGAGAGAAAGTAATTGGGAATACTGGTGGCTGCAAATGGTTTTAAAGTACAAGTGTTCTTGACATGTAGGATTTTGATCCGCTAACAAAACGACAATGATCTCAGCGTATCCATGTCTTTAATAAGGGTACTTGGGGGTTCAAAGAATGCATCATGCTATCTTTTCTTTTGTTCATAAATGTCATATGATGCAATGCCCAAATTGCCAGTAATGGTCGTCAAGGAAAATATTGGGTTTATGAATGAGCAGCAGACATAAAGGGGGGTGTGCCATAATAAGCTCGCTAAAAAACAATGCTATAAGGAGAACAATGGGGCCTAGATCACGCGACTCAAGAATGTAAGGTTACTGTTGAATGGAAACATGGTTGAACAAATGAACGTACGTATGAAACATAGGTAGCTCACATGGCCAAAGGTGGGTAATAGACAAAGAGCTTTGGGTTGGTTGATCAAGTGTACATGTGATATGCGATTCCCAACTCAGTTCATGCAGTGGTGTGTAGGCAATAATATGTATAATAATTATCAGAGGACGACCAAGACCACGCTTTGCTTCTCCTTTCTCCTAGCCATGGATCCCTTTTTACCTGCAATGGTTCTCACTTCTCTCTGCATCGCTGCCACAAAGGTGTATCGGCATCTACGTCCTAACGACCAGCAGCAGCCTCTTCCTGCTCAACCTCAACAACACGATGGTGACAATCTGGAGACTGCGGATTCTATGGTCAATGGCCCACAAGAAGCAACTTTTTCAGTGGCAACATCTAGCGCACGAACAAGCTCAGAAGAAAGCCCCGGCTTGTGTGATGAAAAGGATACTGATGGTAAGCCAAGGAAAGTTACTTTTATTTCAATCTTTCTAAACCATGTTCTACTTAAGATAATGACTCCAGCCCATCGCCCCCGTTGACTGCCTTGGCGCCTGTTACACCCCCACCTTCACCACCCCGTATGACTCGTCAGTATGGGTTTTACAAGTCAATCCACCATGAACGCGCTTTACTACCCACTTGTCATGACCTGCTGATTTCAAGTGAACAAGTCACTCAAAAGGATAAGAATACCAGCATTCCAAGCCAACAAGTTATCACCAAGAATGGCAATCAAGCTCAACATGGGTCCACCACTTCCACAGCTGCGCAACGTTATCGTGCAAAGAAGCCATGGCTCATCCCTCAATCTGCTACTTTCAAGACAACTTCTAGTACAAGATATGCCATACGTGCCTCTGATTCTCATCATCCAAGACAAAGACACATGATATCATCCAGCATGAAGAAGATCTCCAATGATAAAACAGCATCCTATTCATCAAATGAAGGTGCCCCTGGTTTTAGTATCCCTTCTTCATCTACGGCGTCATCGCAAGCAACACCTCCCATGACTCGGCAATATGCATTCTGTGGATCGGCTGATACATCATCAACAACAACGAGCTCGTCAACAACAAGTAGCTCGTCAACCAATGCTACACAACATCAGGAAAGACGTACAAGACTCACATCCCCCGAATTAATGCCACCACCACCACCCAGAGCTCCACGTCGTCATGTTCGACCGTTGTTGAGGAGACAAAACGCCTTCTTCGCCGATACACTTAATAACACAATGCTTGCTTCCAAAAGAAAACGCCATCTTATGGATGAGAATACACCACCTCCACCCAATTCTCGCGATGTGAGACAACGATTGAATACGGATAATGCGTAATCGACAACACAATCATAACACGGCAGCATGGATAAGGCAGTAATCAACATCACAACCATAACATGACATCAGGGATAAAGCACAGCAGTAGTCAACAACCCAATCATAATGACAGAACGAACAAAGCGTAGCCAACAACAACAATGTGACCATTTGACATGGACAACAATGCATAATCAAAAAACGACCAACGACTCTGACGCGGATAACGTGTAATCAACAAGCAACAGCACGACGACCATAATGACAACTCCTCCAAAGCAAAAGATGGATATCGTTTTGGTCACAAACATCATCATACTCTCTCATCATTAGCTCATACTCCTCGACTTCACATGTATATTTTGCTATCTTGTATATAAATAAACCTTTGCACATCATCTTTCATACTGTACCCATCATTGCTGCGGCTTCTTTCATTTACAACTTGTTTCAACGGTTATGGAGCACCAGCCTTCTCATCAGGATGTACGTGTGTGTGTGTGTGTCACCATGGATACCTTTTCAAGGCAAAGATGAGGACGCGCCTCTTTTTGGCATTTTGCATCTCTTGGTATGATGAAGAAGACTTCTTCCGATTCACCGTTCTCAGGTACCACAACAACGATCATGCATTGAAGACCACCCACTACTCCACTTTGTAAATAGCAGCAGCAGATTAGCCCCTCACCATGTAACAATCATACAAAGCACATGCAGCATAAATTGTTCCAGCACACTCCCCTTGCCTTCATTAAACAAATCGCTCTAATGAGTTCCAAAGTCAAAACTATGTATTTTTTCGGAATAGCAGGCTGAGAAGATCACTGCATATGTGTCACAATGCTCGTGTCATTGACGTCCGCGACGACTTAGCACGTACCTTAATCATAAATGGTACAAGCATGTCTTTAAGCTGAAGACCAATATAAAAGAAGAATGATCCTATTACATGATGGAATGGATGACCTTATCATTATAACTTTAGAGCTTTAAATAGACCATATCATTCTTGCCAAGCGCACGGACAATGATGTATGCATGCATGTCAACCTTTACTGCTGTGGCGAAGGTGTTGAGGCGCGGTTGTAGTGGTTTTCACCTTTCAGGTGGGTAATGGGCTAAGCATAATCAGAAAAAGGAATCTAAGCCCAAGCTGTTGGATCACAACGTGTATAAATTGGTGGAGACGAAGATCCTTTTTTCAGCATCTTCAATATGCCTTCCATAATAACTCCACATACCATTGTTTACTCGCTCACATTGCTTGCTTCTTTGGCAGCAGCAGTGCCAACACCAGAGCCAGCACCTATTGAATTACCTATTCGTTGGTCCCATCGCATGTATCGGCGCCAAGATGATGTATCCACAAATGTGACTTATGGCGTCAGTGTTCTTGAACCTATGGTTGAGATTGGCGTTGGCACTCCCCCTCAAAAGTTTACAATGATCTTTGACACTGGAAGCTCGGATACGTGGGTACCAGATAAACACTGTGATCAAAAGGATGGTTGCATTTCCGGGCGCAGTATGTGTTATCTTATCAAATCAGGAACAATAAGCGTACTCATCATCGTTGTATATAGCATTTGATAGACAAAAGTCATCCACTGCACGTTCCTTTGACAAGCATACCCCCCTTTTTATCGCAAGATATGGTTCAGGCAATGTAACAGGAACCTACTTTAAAGACACGGTGACATTTGGCGACAATACACAATTGAAAGATCAATCGGTGGTGGTGGCCAATCACACTGCTGGCTCCTTTGCTACTCAAGAGCCTGAAAGCAAACTTGTTATGGATGGCATCCTCGGTGCTGGTTTCCCTGGCTTGATGATTGCGAATCAGCTCTCTAAAAAGTCATCTATGGTGCCAGTCCCAATGTCTTTGTATGAAAACAAAGTAATCAGCAAGCCCCTATTTTCGGTTTATACAGGTCCCTTGGGTGGATCCTCGGGTTCTATCCTCTTTGGCGACGTCCATAGTATTGCAAGTGGTGAATCACACACTGCACCCGTTATCAAGTCCAAAGCATTTAACGGCGATGATTCAGAGATCTATCAATGGCGTATCCATGTCAACAAAATTAGCCTTGTTGGCAGTAACAACAACAACAACAAGACCAAAGGTAGCCAAAAAGAGAAAACGGTGCTCGAGTATGCCGATAGCAAGCATTCATTCCACGTGGATACCGGTACTCCTGTAAGCCGCCTTCCTGCCAAGGAAGCTGATCATCTCGCGTTGTCCCTGTTTGGAGAAGAAAACCTCGTACGAAACGAAGAAGCGGGTGTTGGCTACATTGTCAAGGACTGCAGCAAATTCACACCTGACAACACGCCTTCTTTATCTATCAGTGTATCAGACACGTCTTCAAAATCATTCAACTTGGAGCTCAATGTCTATGATCTTCTTCTTTTAAATGACGAAAAGGAGGACACTTGCATCTTCATCTTTGGCGAAGGACACGACTATATGATTGGCAATTTGGCCTTGTCTAAGTATGTCACCGTATTCAACTTTGGTGATAAGACTATTAGCTTTTCTGAAATCAGCGACAGCGATGATACAGCATAGACCTTGTACTTGTAATCCTACATCCTTGTAAACGTATAATAGCATTCTCAATAAAAGGTCGTATGGCAGCTCATATGGCATATATACCATCAACATGCAAGCCTACTAGCAATGCATTAAACGAAATCCTTGGTCATAAATCATAGCATTTGTCAAAAAAGATGACTAGCGATAGTCATCCCGTTATTGAGAGGATGTGTATTGATTGCGTAGCGAAATCCACATGATCAGCTTGCCAAATGGTCCTCACCAAACTCATCGACGTGCCCATCCAGCGCTTTTAGGATCCATCACCGTGTTGTTTGTTTTTTAAGAAGAACGTATGAATACATGAGCAGTAGTCATGGCCAAATGAAATAGCGGCATGTGAATAACATGATGACCCATTGTGGATCGTCGAGCAATACATGCGGTATTAGAAACAACGGCATGTACGAAACCATCATCGTTTCCATGGAAACCATGCTGGTGCCCATTGGGACCGATCCATGTGATACAGGAGGTGTACATACGCATTTTCAGGCTACATCTCTTCATGCTACGCCCAACTCAAAGAACAACACCATCGTGTATTGAATTTCATTTTGGCTTGCCAAGTGGTCTGTGTGATGGCCCAAGCATGATATGCGTGGTACATTGCATTTTAAAAGGGCAACACCGATCCAATTTGGCATCATCGCTGATGTCAGATGTCATAAATACAAGAATTTTCTGGTTCAAGGTACGTCGATCTTTTTTCATGCGCCACTTTCATGATGCAATATTTAATCCCTTACCTAAGCATTCAATGAATGATACCTTAACACACACACATGAGCGCACACACATGCAGCTGCAGCAATCATTGTACCTTTACACCGGTTTGATGGGGAATGGCCAAGTTCATGCTATACTTTACTGAGTAAGAGGGTTGTAATTAACATCGTGGCAACCAGCAGACTAGCCATATTTAAAGGGCTTGTGACAGAGATTGAATCAAACTCAACGCTCTGCTGCTGCTTCGACTGATGAGCGGGAAATTATGGTGTCACCATGTGTTCCTTCATTTGGTAGCATAGCAACAGACAACAAATGCAAGCTACGTTCGACTACCACCATCACCATTGTCAAAGACCTGCAATGCTATACTGGAATGGGTTTATTGAAGAAGTAATATGCATATTGGCTATAGGGTGTATGTAAAAGCGTGATGTTTGAAACACGAGACAATGAAGAATTGGGCTTGCAAGATAATCGCTTTTGCAATTCTGCCATGATGATGACAGCTGTGGCTCGGTAACGACTGAGAAGAAATCTAAATGCTGCGTAGCGTCTGATACATTTCATATAAATAGCCATTGAAAATGAGTGCAACCCTTTAATCCATCTTTATATACATGCCTTCCTTTTCATCACGCCAATTTGTATTTTCTCTTTCACTGATTGCATCCCTCGCATCAGCTATCCCAACACCCGAACCATCGCCTATTGAGCTACCCATCCAATGGACGCGTCGATTGCATCGTCGACAAGAGGTGGAGGCCAACGTAACCTATGGCATAGGCATGCTTGAGCCTATCGTCGAAATTGGTGTTGGCACCCCTCCCCAACATTTTACCATGATCTTCGATACCGGTAGTTCTGATACATGGGTACCTGCAAAATCATGCCACAAAAAGGATGGATGCATGTCTGGACGACGTATGTAAATTGCCATATCAAATACGATGACAAGCCGACGACTCACCTTGTATGTTGTATAACACTTTTTAGACTTTGATAAAAGCAAATCATCGACCGATAAATCACTCGACATGCCATTCGTCGCTCATTATGGTTCAGGCGATATGAAAGGCGTCTATTTTGAAGATACGGTGACATTGGGTGGAAAGACACATGTAAAGCACCAAACGCTTGTGGATGTGAACGCGACTGCTGGTACATTTGCTGCCCAAAACCCCAATGATCCTCTTGTCATGGATGGTCTTTTCGGTGCTGGATTTCCAGATTTGATGGTTGCACGTTGGCAACTTAACCAAACCAACACGATGCCTATACCCATTTCTTTGTATGAGAACAAGGCGATTAGTGAACCACTCTTTTCGGTTTATACGGGTCCTTTGGGTGGTAGTGCTGGTTCAATCATCTTTGGTGGTGTACATTCGTTTGCTGGCAAGCTGCACACCGCATCGGTATTAAAATCCAAGGTCTTCAATGGTGACGATACTCGTTTCTATCAATGGCGCATTCATGTCGATAATATCACAATGACTGAACCCAGCAGCAAAATCAGCAGCCTCTTCAAGCTTGGCAATGATGATGATGAGAAAAAAGAGCAATTGGTCCTTGGATACAACAACCCCAAGCACTCATTCCATGTGGATACCGGCACTCCTATCAGCCGTTTGCCTGTCAAGGAAGTGGAGCATCTCGCTGCTACCTTGTTTGGTGCAAAAAACATTGAATCAACCAAGGATGGTCGCTTCTTTGTAAACGAGTGCTCGCAATTCTTTGAGGAAGACAACGTACCCACCCTTTTCATCACCGTACCTGATACCTCGTCCAAGCCTTTCCAATTGAAATTAGAAGTTGATGACCTGCTTATGCGTAACGAAGGTGAGGCCGATTTGTGTCTCTTTACATTTGGTGCAAGCAACGATTACTTGATCGGCAACATGATCATGTCCAAGTACATTACCGTATTCAATTTCGGTGATAAGACCGTCAGCTTTGCTTCCATCAAGAAGGATGATTCTGCATAAATCACTCATATCTTTACAAACACATTTACCACCTATAAACTGTAGTACTGATAATTCTTTGTCCTATCACCGCATTACACTACCACCTATTACTATTACATCATGCATGACAAAAAGGCCATTTATATAATCACATTCATGACATTGAAAGAAGTCAAGCGTAGATACCGCTTACACTACTGGTACATGCTTCAATCAGCAGGGGGGGGTTGAGTCACGTGGAGTTCTAGTTGCATTCAAAGCCAAATCCTTTATTTTGCTATCCCATGTTGTCAATGAATATCAGGGTACAGGATCTGTGTCAAAGACTAGCAATGATTAAAATGTATAGAGAGAAGGGCTACCCTGGTATGGGAATGTGCAGGGGAGGCGGTGGAGGTCAAACGATCATCCGTGTGCGGGATAAGAAATCAACGTCACTTGAACAACGAACCAGGCTAAAACAAGAGTTTTATCTCTTTCCTCTAGCCATCAACAATGTCTGCTTGGAAGTCTGCCGGTCTCACGTAATTATCGTTTCCTCCATGGTTGACAGGGAATACATGACTCGATTGACTAATCGCTTGCAACAGCTACCTTCAATACGCCAACATTTGCGCTCGTGCTCTTCGCAATTCGCTCAAGAACGACCTCCGCGTTGCTGCTCAAGCCCGTAACCAAAACAACTTGAAGTTTGCCAAGTGGGAAAGTGGTGTTCAATCCGAGCAGGTAAAAAGCAAAGGATACTTTTGGTGATTGGATGGTCTTGACTCATCACGTGCTTGTGTGTGTGTGTGTATAGAAATTCGTTGCTCCTCAAAAGAACGCTCAACAGTAATCAGTGACGCCTCCCTCCCCTTTACATCAAGCATTCAAATGTCAATCCGAACACACACACAACACGTATATATATATAAACACAACACACATGTTATCGACCCATCATGGATTATTGGATTGTATGGACAAGTTGTGTATTCACGACTTTATAAAACGAGAGGAAAAGGCATGTGAGTGAATGGAGAGTTATAAAGACGAGGAAATGGGATGGATCATAAAAGGAATGCAGGATGGTATACAGAGTTATCGTGACAATCAAGAAAAAGATTTACAAAGGGAGATGCTTTACACAAAGAGAGAGAGAGAATGGGGATTTGCATAGATTTGGAAAGAGGAAGGGGGGAAGAGAGAGAGAGAGAGAGAATAGATTAAACAAACAACAATAATACAACAAACCGATCTTTCGATTCTCCTTTTACAGAACGCCTACACGCGATGACTTTTTACCAGTAACCATACGCTTGAAGCTCTTCCACAAACGACCCACCACAGTCGGTGGCTCGGTTTCAACTTTAACATGATCACTTTCGGAAGATGTTCCGTTAGACTTCTTTTTGTTGCTGTCATCTTGATCATCATTCCGTTTTGGTGCAGGGTCAGGTTTTAACCATGTTGCCAAGAGTGATCGACGAGGTGTTGATTGTTTTGGTTGTTGGGCTGCATGCTTCATAGTTGTGGTATTGGATGATGATACTGCTGCTGATGGTGATTGTGTAATAGTAGAAGTAGTAGTAGTGGTGGTGTTCGTATTGGATGAGAATGATGATGCGGATGCTGTTGTAGGTTTGTTGCTGCTTCGAGAGAATAACTTTTTGAACAAATTCTTTTTCTTGGGTGGTGCGGATGGTGGTGAGGGTAGCGATGCCAGTCGATCATGCAAATCAGATGGCTTGAAAGGCTCATCAGATGGTACCTTTGGTAATGGCTTGGCGAGTAAAGTGGATGTCGTTGAAAAGATGGATGATGATCGAGAGGGTCTGGTGGTAGTCGTCTTTGATGTATTGTTGGTGGTCGTTGCAGGTGGTTGTTGTTGATTGGTACGCCATCGTGAAAATAGACCTCGTGGTCGGCTATTGTTAATGGCATTGCGTGATGCAGTTTCAAGACGTTCATCGGTAGCATGATCATCGGTAGCGACATTTGTCTTGGGTGCATGATGATGGTTGCTATTGGTGAAGATGGCTCGAATAGATTCCACGGTGCCCTTTTTAATAACCGGTGTGGGATTACCCACTTGTACAGGTGCAGGAGCAGCTCTTGGCGGTTCTGAAGGTACTGATGGCAATTGGAACAATGAACGTAACGACCTCACAGTGCCTCGTTGCATGTTGCTAATGATTGAAGATCTTTGGCTGCGAAGTGTATCAGCATCATCATCATAAGAGCTGGTGCTGGTACGTGTAGCAGAGAGTTGAGATGAGATGGATGCTTTTGATCGAATAGAGCGACGAGAGTTGTGATGTGAGGAACAGGAGGAGGATGCACTCTGCTGATCAAATGATCTGGCAAAAGATGACTTGCTAGAAGATGAGGGTCGTCGACTTGATGCAGCAGATGAAGGTGGTGCTACTCGAGCAACATCACGAGGATCAGCTTCTGCCACAGGTAAAAAGTGAGCATCGTTATGGAATGGAAAAGCGAGTGGTCGTGGGCAAGAATAAACAAGATCGGGTTGTCGTAGCTGCTGTGAAGATGCCTTCTTTTTCTTGTGTCCTTTCTTTTTGGATCTTGTAGATTCACCGCCTACGGATGATGCACCATCTTCTTGCTCATGCTTTTGGTTTTGTTCAGCATCCGCACGTTGACTTAGTGGTGAAGGTTGATTTGCATTGGGTGATGATGATGCGGATGAGTTATAGCCGCTGTCAGCACTGCTATTTGATAAGGCTTCTTCTCGTTGCTTCTTTTTTCTTTGTCTATCCAATCGCTGCGCCGACCGTAAGGCAGCAAGCTGCTCATGTCGATAGCCGGACGAGTGAAAGTACATGGAAAATATAAAGATGAGGTGGGGAGAGAGAGGCTTATGCCTTGCTCAAATACTGTTATATATCTTTAAACCAGTGAAGGGGAAAAAAGAAGAGAGAAAAAGAGGCTCTAAAACAATAGAGGGAACAAGAGCGGAAGAAAAAGCCAATAGTGAGAAGCATCATTGGATAGGTTGCCTATGATACACAAAAAGCAACCACGTTGTACAAGCGCTCCATCGTTTTCGTTTTGGTGCACTTGCAACCCCCCCTTTCTCCGTGTGCGTTATCGTAAACACACCTCTGCTCCTCCTTCCATCATGCATGCATGTTTGTCATTCAAATCTAAACTAGCTGAATAGAACACACTTGCTTCCTTTTTCTCATCATCCCAATGCCGTTGTCAAGGTGCATGAAAAACAGTATTGTATTGTATTGTAAAAGAGAGATCATATAGAAGAAAAGTGGGCCCGCTCCTGTCTGGGACCGTAGGCACAACCGAGACTGTTCCTTGTGTAACGTTGCCCCAGCCTGTGTACTCAATGATTTTGATGATGATCGTACTGCTGTAGTTGCTGTTGTTGAGTATTACGAAAGGAAAGAATCGCCAGCGCCATCAAGAGATTGATACACAATGACACGAATGCAAAGATCATCGAGATACCATGTCGCATGTTGGTTGGTGTAGCCATGAAGATCGAGATGGTTGTGGTGGTACTGTTATAAAGTAGATCAAGCAGGATCACCATGGTGGTTGCACTGGGCACAGCTAAGGACAAAAGATTAGGTCGTTTGCTTTTTTAGGGTAGACAACGTGGGTGACTCACTATGCAGCACTAACATGCTTTCATGCACGCGTCAAAAAGAAGAATGAGGATTCATTGTGTGCACTGCTTTAATGTACAACGTCAGCTTACCTTGTTACCATTTTCCATCCTCGATCTCGTTTCCGTCGTTGGCTACACATGGTTCCCAGCAACGCAACCAAAGTCAATGCACCTATGACACTGGCCAATATCATGGTAGTCCCGGCAACATGCCTATGTTGTGAATGTATCCACCACCACCACTCCTAGTAAGCCTTTGCATATCGCAGCAAATGAATCTCCATGGCAACCAACAACAACAACTCACCAAAGAGGGCAAAAATATTCTACCATTTGAAATGTGTCAATTTGTCATTGTTGTCTGTGCGATACCTTAGAAATCATTACCTTGCGTGCAATCACCGTTTTCCTCACGAGGAAATGCTCGACACTCGCCTGTTGCACTGCATCCGCATGTGCCACCCATGAAAAAGTTTAACGACATGTACCGTGTCGATCACCACACACGCACAACGCATGGTCGCTGATGATTATCTTTATCCCTGTTATACCTTTGACACACCATGAAAAGCCCGTATTGAGTTTCTGCATAGGATCCAGAAGATGCCGCATCCAATGGTGTCACCAGCCTACGTCGTTGACATGTCAGCTCATCTTCCCTTCCCATCGTCCTTCCCATGTCGTCGACCTTTACCATTGGGGCAAAATGAGAGCAGCTAGTTGCAATGCGTAGCTTGTAAACGCCGTTATCAAAAGCACAGTATATATCACGAACGGCATTATGTAAATAGTCAATGTGTGTAGAAAGAAAAGGAGAGAAAGAGATATATGTATGTATCAGGTGCCACCTGTGAAAAAGCATGACAATAAACAAAGTTGATGATTAAACGATCATGTTTCTTGTATGTGCGTAAAGAGATAGAATGCAAAGAAAAAGATATATAACGATTGTGGGGGAAACGAGAGGGAGATGCTATATGAGATGTGATTTCTTTAGGGAGCAAAGAGGACACGAAGAGTGTTGGTGTTGCCAAGACCACCCTTCCAGCCCTGGACAGCAACGATAGGTTGACCACCCTTCAAAAGACCATACTTTTTCGCTTGCTCCATTCCCCAAAGTAATCTCTGATCTACATCTTCTTGCCATGGTGCAACATCAGCAGGGCTCAAGTGAGCAGCACTTGCGGACATGCGTGAAGTGGATTGACCACTGCTGGCAGCCTTGGGATACAAAAGAGGGAAGCATCCACGATACAAGTGAACTTGACGTGCGGTTTGTGGGTTACGAGTAACGACAACAATGGGTGCCTTGGGGCGGTACTTGCTGATAAGACGAGCACTGTTGCCAGAGGTGGAAAGCACAATGATGGCACCAGCATTTTGCTCGTTAGCAGCACTCACAGCAGCAGAAGCAACGGTTTCAGTGGTCTCAGTAGGCAATGAAGTAAGCGAGCGAAGCTCATTGAATACGGCAGGGTAACAAAGCACGGACTCGGCAAGGGAGCAAATCTCGTGCATAGTGCGAACAGCTTCAACAGGATAACTACCCTTGGCAGTCTCACCAGAAAGCATCACACAGTCGGCACCATCCAAAACAGCATTAGAAACATCAGAGACTTCAGCACGAGTAGGACGAGGATTGTACTATAAAATAAAAATCTTATCTTAGTATACCTGATATCATAGAGATAAAGAGATAAGAAATGTGTGACACTTACAGTCATAGATTCCAGCATCTGAGTAGCGCTGTCAAACAAAAAGATATTTCCCCATTAGCATTTTTTCCAGCTGTCCCGCGAATTCCTGCCAACTTACCAGATAACGGGCTTGCCAGCAAGATTGCACTTGGTGATCATCATCTTTTGGGCAATGAAGACACGTTCGAGAGGAATCTCAATACCCATATCCTAAAAATCCAATATCAGCATCATACTTTGGAAAGAGAGAATACATGTATATAGATATACATACACCACGAGCAACCATCACACCATCAGTCTCCTTAAGGATTTCATCAAAGTTTTGGACACCTTGGTGGTTTTCGATCTTGGAGATGATCTTGATGTTCTTGCCATCCTCACCCAAAACTTCACGAATGTCCTTGACATCTTGGCCACGGCGAATAAATGATGCAAAGATAAAATCGACATTGTTCTTGACACCAAATCGCAAATCAGCCTTGTCCTTTTCAGAGAGGGCAGGCAAATCGACATCGGTACCAGGAAGGTTGACACCCTTGTGTGCACAAAGCTTGCCGCTGTTGCGTGCCTTGACACGAATATCCTCACCATTGACCTCCAAAACTTCAAAGGAAAGAACACCATCATCGACATAGATAAGCTTGCCAACTTCGATCACCTTGGGCAAGTTCTTGTAGTCAACATACATGACCTTGTCATCGCAAATGTCCTTGTATTCTTCGTTGACGCTGAAGATCATCTCGTGACCAGCAGAGATAGGGCACTAATACATCCACCCATCCCATGTGAGTTGAATGAAATCCCATTTGATGCATGCTTTTTTCTTCTCTACATACCTCAACATTGTCACGCATGTTACCAGTACGGATCTCAGGACCCTTATTGTCCAAAGCAATGGCAACGGGTCTGCCAGGATATACTAAATGCGGCATGTCAATATTGCTTTCATAAAGAAATATCTAATAGCACTTACATTCGGCACTCTTGCGGGTGTTATCAATGACCGATTGATGATACTACATAGCAAAGGCGTTTTGAGTACATGAACAAAATTCTTCCCAATCGACCATTGGTAGGTGCACCATAGTAATCTCCGCAGTAATCCACCCCAAAGATTCCCGTAGATTACCGCGATTACCAAAACCAAACCGTTCTTACCTCGTATGAGCCGTGCGAGAAGTTCATACGAACAACGTTCAAACCAGCATTACGAAGTTGGGTGATCATCTCGACGCTGTTGGTCTTGGGACCTGTAAATTAAAGAGAGAATGAGCCATAACGTCAATGCAAGAGGGAAAACAACAAAGCAAGAGGAAAACAAAACGCGACAACCCCTGGTAGTGTTGCAGTTTTGTTTTCGTTCTTGTTCATCAAAGAAGTATGTATGATGGTTTTGCCTTACCGATAGTGCCGATAATGGTGGACTTGCGAGTGATGGTAGGTTCAACGTTAACGTCCATTTGGGAAAGCCAGTGCATGCTGGAAGTGATCTCGGGAGTGATGGGTGCCATGATTGTTGATATGTACAATAAAAAAGAGATGGGAGTGGTATGTGAATGTATATCAAAAGAAAAAGAAAAAAGAACACAAAAGAGGTCGAAAGACTTGGTTCCTTTTTATGCCCATCCACCAACTGCATTTTTCTACCACGCGTCACTAGTGTGTGTGTGTCGAAACTCGTCTCGCATTCGCCACCAGCGCCCCTGTCGTCGGATATAGCCTTCCATTTTTGGACTCACTGTACAACAAGAATACCACACTCCTTTTGGTCATTGGTTCTTGCTCACTATCATTATCGGAAGTGATCTCGTTAATGCAACAAGGTTCTGCACACATCCAACTTGTCCCAGAAAACAAGCTTGCACATGCACATACACAAACACACACCCACACGTACTTGCACACTTCATACGAACACGCCTCCTTAATCAGTAGATGTAATCTCATCAGCGAAAAAAAGACAGCATTTGGTGCGGAGCTGGGATTTGTTATCAAACCAATGAACGTTTGGATCTTATCGCTGCAATCGTCGTGGGATCAAAGTTGACACCGCTCCACTGGATTGGATCGTGTAAACCTTTATCTCATCCAAAGGAACAGGGGAGATCAGGAGTATGCACATACATCGGTCGAGATAGGGGTATCTTAAGACTATCACTCTATGGGTATGTAGAATTATATACAAAGTCGTGGGATTGAATATAAGGTTGTGTGTATCATGTATCCATCATCGCCATCATCGTGAGCTCATGGCTGAATCGGTTCGCCTATGATAACCGCTGTCGATCTCCTCAGTCGCTTGACGTAGCAAAACGTTCTCCATAACGGCTTTGCGTTCTTGGGTATTCTGTGTAACACTCTACGTTAATATACGTCTTGCCATTACCATCTTTGACCTCTTCTCCTTCTTTCTTACCTCAAGCTTCTCCATCAAATGGGTAATGATACTATTACGTCGTGCCAACAAATCCTCAAGTGCTCCCTTTTCTTGTAATGCTCGATTGTAAATGAGATCCAGTTGGTGTAAACGCTCAGCTTCACGCTGCAATACTCGATCACGTTCTTCCAGCTCTCGTTGCAACTCCTTGTTCAACCTGGCAAGTGTTTGGTTGGCTTTTGATGATCCTCCATTTCGTGCCTATTCACGGAAGCAAATTAGTGACCCGATCACACACATTGCATATGAATACTTACATCAATAGAACCACTCCTTGAACTGGATACCTCTGATCTCTTATGCAATGCTCGTTTTGCGTCATGCAACTTTTCATTGGCGAGCTGTCTATCCTTTTTGAGCTGCTCCTCCGCTTCTTTGAGTCGTCTCTCGGTTTCAGCAACGCGTCCTTTCCACTCTTCTTCAATTTCAATCATCCGTGCACCAAGTTGCTAGCAAAAAAGTCATGTCAATATCTTTCATTGGCAATTTCACCATCCATTATGTGTACCTCCTTGATGTCAGCCAAATCCCGCTCATAGGCTTCTTCAATATCACATGCGTTCGCCATTCGCTCATTCAATTGCTCCTCAACATTTGCAAGCAATATGTCCTTTTCTCGTAAAAGATCGGCCAATTCACGCATCTTATCATGCGCTTCCTTGAGTTCTTCTCGATGTAGGCTCTTTTCACGTTGTACAGCATCAGCCTGAGCTTCAAGGTGACCCTCCAAAGATGCGATCCGCACATCACGTTCACGCATAGCTTGCTCCACTTCTTTGAATTGTTGTTCCAATAATTGCAAATCTTCCTCATAACGTGCTTTGGCTTCTTGTGTCTTTTCCATTGCTGATTCGATCTCATATTCCAGGTCTTTGATTTGCGTATCCTTGTGCCTCATGCGCTCCTCCACTTGCACGTATCTCTGCTCCAATGCTGACAAATCGTTCTCTTGTGATTCAATCTCTTCAAGACGTCGTTCGTATTCGCCAATTTGATCATCCTTGATCTGCAGCTCCTGCTCTAGTCGCTCAATCTCATCATCGTACTGGTTACGCTCCATAGCCTCCAATTTGCGCTCCAATTCCTCAATCAACATGTCCTTCTCCTTCTCTCGTGCTTCCAATTTCTCGGCACGTGTCATCACCTATCATTACATGTTAACATCCTTTGAATAAAAGCACATTCATGAATAAAAATGTACCTTGACCACTTGGGCTTCGAGTGCCACAAACTGTTGTTCACGCTTCTCAATTTCCGCTTCCAACTTTTCCATCTCATGCTGATGCTCATGCTCAGTATCCTTAAGCTCTCGTTTCAAGGTGCCAACGACTCGACTCAAATCACCATTCTCGATCCTGAGATCATTGACTGTAGTAAGTAACTCGGATACATTGGGAGACGCTGCATTTGCTCGTCGATCCTGAAGCGTGTCCAATTCTTGACGCAACTTTTGATTCTCGTTGGACTTGTTACGTAGCATCTTTTTGGTGTCATGTAATGATCGCATCAACTCATCCATATTCTCATGCATCCTATCGAGCTCCTTGTTTTTGGATAGCAATTGGGCCATGACCTCTGAATGACGTTCCTGCATACGACCAAGATTCTAAAGTACATATGATGCATTAGCAAACATGCTCACATCTCCCCTCCTATTCCTCCATTACCTCATTCAATTCGTGATTGGTCTTCATATATTGATCAGCTCTTGCGACATAAGCATCCCGATCAGCAAGGATGGATTTGACTAGACTATCACTTGGTGCCTTGTAATTGCTGGGTGATGATGATGCCTTCATTTCATTTTCTTCACGTAGCAACTGGATAGTCTGGTTTTGGCGATCGATCGTTTGCTTAGCTTGCAACCATTCACGTCGATACATTTCCACCTCATGCACCATATCCTTGTTGGATGAACTCGTCGTGGGTAGTCTTCGGTGATTGATCCAATGATCCTCATCTTCATCTTCATAATCATTTCTGCTGCCGTTGCTGTTACTTCTGCTGATTTTGATACTGCTTCGTGGGCTGTTATAGGCTGCTGGAGATACACCAAGAGCAGGGCTTGAGGTACGTGAAGAACGCATGGATGCACGTAAACGTGAATTCTCTGAAGATAAATCAGCCACCATCTTATGTAGACGCTCGTTTTCCTCTCGATATCGCGTTGCGTTGGTGATTGCTGTATCATACTCGGCTTTTTCTTCGGATGACATGCCGTGCGGCAAGGAGCATGCTTGTTGACTTGATCGTTGTAAAAGATCCATTGCTGAATGCAACTCCAAAATCATATGCTTGTACTTTCTCAGCTCTCGCGTCAATGTCTGGATATTGACCTTGAGATCCACATTCTACATTAACGCGTAGGTGGGTTAATCAACTAGTCGATCAATCATAAATCATCTATCCACTTACCTCTTTCAAAGCATTATCCACTTGATCAGGCGATAAATCATCCAAACGCTTCTCCAAATAGTAAATCTTGAGCTTCAATCCAAAGTTGTCCTTTTTCAAAATGTCGATCGTCTAAACCACGTGTATGATGAGACAATGAATCACACAACACGGATTAATAACCGTACCTTCTCTTGCTCCTTTAACGCCAATGTGGTGGATCTTTCCTTTTGAGGATCTCGTTTGTTGTCGTTTCCATTGATATGACGAACGTGTTTGTTGTCTTTGATAGCTGATGATGATCGCGCATTATCCATGCCATCAGCCATTGATAATTGTTCAAAAGCATCCAATCGACTCTCTTGTTCAAACAAGCTGGAATGATCAGCAAACATGTTGGTAGTCCCAGCAGATGCAGAAGGACGAGGTACTTGTAGATGCTGCTGCTGCTGCTGTTGCTGTTGCTGCTGCTCGATAGGATGATTGCCGTCGTCGTCGTCGTCGTCATCGTCGTCATTAGGCAAATGATGGATGGTGTCTGGCATGGGTGTTTTCTGATTATCATCGTCGTTGTCGTAGCCATTGTTGTTGTCATACATATCAGCAGCAATATGAGTATCGATAGGTGCTGGTGAGGAGGAAGGTCTGAATGGAGGCGAATCGTCAATAGCACTACCCATCATGTTGGAAGCCATTGAGACATTGTCCAGCATGGAGACTTGAGTGAGAGACGCTTCGGAAGGAAATTGGTCGTCGCCACTTTCTCCATCGAATGGTGGCGAAGAGGAGGAGGAGAATGGCTGGGATTTTTGCCAGGGACGCATGCAGCCAACACTGGAATCAAACCGAGAGAGGAAAGTCAAAGAGAGAGAAGGAGGAATAAAACAAGGAAATAAGCTGTTTGAATATATTTACACGGAGGAAAAAGAGGAGGAGGAGGAGGACAAGTCGTTGATGAATAGAAATGAAAAAAGGGATGTTGGTGTGTAGATGGCTCTCTCACAATTAAACGCGCGCTCCTCTTTCTCCCTTTAATTTCTTCTTATTGCTTATGGCTTTGTTGCACCAAACACGCATCCTTTCCATTGCTGATAATTACAAGGTGTCACATACATGTTGGCTGGTTCTTAAAATGCATAAAGCAATCAATCCTCTCATCGCGTTTTAGGCTATTCTACCGATACCAGGTCGATCCAAAATGATGATTTCAAAGAACACCTGGCGTGATCACACCTTGTTCCTAAATCAGTAAGCATCACCTGTGCCGTGATGATTGATTCATCATGAACAATAAACAATGCGATTAGAGACATTTCTACTTGTGATTACTGTGACGTTATCCAGCCCTGTGTTGTTGTGCGATGATTCACGAGACGATGGGTGGGAAATTTTGTGTACACAAGTGATGGGCAGACTCCCTATACACAACCTTCATCTGAATAAAAGAGATGTTGCTCCACAAAAGATTGCCTTTTAGGTTATAATGGATCATCCTCCTCCAACGCCATGTCAAGTAATTACAACACCCACCCACCTACCTTGCTTGTAGCAAATGCATATCTTCAATCATCATCTTACAAATAACAAGCCCCCCACCCACCCACCCCTCTCTTTCTTTCCCCAAACAATGACACACCAAAACGTGGCTCCTTTTTCTCCCTGCTGATCTTGGCAACATTACCAATGCCCAACCAAATTCCGATTCCGTGCTGCTGGATCCTCAATGTCCATGTGGTTTTCGGGATTCGGCATCGTCTGCACTACACCAAGCGGAACAAGCGGCCTCCAACATCCGCCCGTTATCATCATCTTCAATAAACAATACCCTTACATATTAACCAATCCATCATCTACATAAGTGATGTATCCTTTATTTCGTCACAAAAGAATATAAAGGTGGATCTGCCTCTCCTCTCTCTCTTGCTTTAGACCCAAAGAGGAAAAGTAGGTGCATAAAAAGACTAACGCATGACAGACCACTGCCTACTCACGGTTGAAACATTGAAGACTCTATCGTTACATTGGCTTTGACGTTCTTGGAAAAGAGGAAACAGAGAAAAGTGTTCCGTAGATCCCCGGTGACAACTACATCTTTGACTTCTTCATTATCAATCAGCAGGTGCTCATTTTTTCGATGGGCTTAAACATCCACAAGCAAACTCTATTCAGCTTGCTGTATTCAAGTACATAATTTCTCAATCATCAGGATCATTGAAGTATGGAGCAGCGACATGCATCGAGGACGTGCAGCTGTAAGTAGATATGAAACGAGAAATGCAGTGCAATGCATTTTCCCGCAATGTGCTAGCGTGTGACCCCCCAACCAAAACAATAACAGCGCGCCTCTACATTCATATCTTGCATTTGAAGAACTTGGGTTGTCGATCATTTCATCTTGATTTTGCGCTTTCAATAAACGTATGACATGTGTGCATTGTGCCATTTTGTGTAGGCTAAGGACATACAAAGAACAAAGAACAATAAACCGTATCAGGGGCTTGCTATCGTTAACAGGCCAAGGAGGCAAGTGATTGTTCTCTTTCGCAAAAAGTCTTTGTTGCTCAAACAAATCTGAGCCAAAGGGTAAGACCAAAAGAAGGTGGATTGTGTCCTTTCATCATAAGCTAAACTCAGTTTTGCAGTCTGTCATACCAAGCACACGCATATCTTCGTATCCTGCAGTTTACGGCCTTCCCATGATTGATGGTGGTCCCAATTCTTTGTATGACAGACACTTTCGCTTAGCTATTACCACAACAGCTGGCCCGCACGCACTCCTTGTTTATAAAGCCCATATTCTTTTTCCTTCATGCACTCGCTTCTTGTTCTACTTTTATTACTCTTCACCTTTTGTATTTCAACTTACAACCACCATCATGAGCAGCAATACCTGTGATCCACTTTCAACAGCTAATACAACCCCGAAGCCATCGGCTCGGCTTACCAACCCCACCACATACCATTTGCAGCAACAGCAAGAATACCAATATCAAATGCGTTTTAAAGATCAGGTTGGCATCGACCCTACACAAGTCATGGAACATCAACACCTATTTTTTGCCCAGCAACATCAAGAGAGCTCGCCCAATCTTTCTGATTTGGATTATCCAGACCTTACCACAAACACCTCTTCTTCTGGTAATGGCCTCACATCATCCGATCCCCATCGGCCATCACAACAACCACCAGTTGCATTACAGCACCATCATCATTTCATTCGACACCATCATCAACCATCAGGTGTAGTGGATCCTTCAAGTACAACAATGGCACCACCACCATCATCATCAGGCACCAACCATAATAGCCCTGGCAAGGATTTGCAGCTGGAAGAACACAAGCTACAACATCCACCAGCACATTACAGCCATTCAATGATGTATTATCCACCACCATCATCATCAGCAACAATGAATTCTCAAAGTTACTACTACAAGCAAATCCATCAAGGCGGTGTTGTTAATGGAGCTACAGCATCAACATCATTTGGTGCAAGTGCTCCTGCCCATCTTGGATACAACCACATGCACCCCCCGCCTTTGGTTGGGCACTCGGTCACACCCAATGATGCAGCAGCAATGGCTATGGCAGCACCAGCACCGCCCGATAATGTGGTCACAGGAATAAACCGGCAACATCAACAACCACATGTCTACGAGCAGCATAAGCAGCAGCCTGATACATCATCTTGTATGGATGCAGGAGCTAGTGAAATCAATGAGCCATATGAAGATGATTTTGCAGCCCAAGCAAAGTAAGTACATTGTCCCATGCTATTATGCATACTCATGCAATTGAATCATGTTTGTGCAGTCTACAAGCTATTATGGAAAAAAGACGACGACGACGTGAATCCCATAATGCCGGTATGTATGCATAAGCTTTTTTCTTCCTGCATGTATTTGTATATCTGAGATGAATGACTCTTTCTTTTTTGCATTTTCAGTGGAACGTCGTCGACGGGATAATATCAATGATCGTATCCATGAGCTTGGACAAATGCTACCGGAAGCCATGACTGCTGAAGAAGGAGGCGTAGGTCGTCTTAATAAAGGAACCATCTTGCGCAAGAGCGTAGAGCAAATCAAGCTATTGCAAACGGATTTACAAAGCTATCAGCAACGCGTCATTGAGCTTGAAGAAACGCTTCGTCGTCTCACCTCCACCAAGGTACAACCCAACACGCGCGTATCGCAATAACGTTTCCCCCAACGACAGCCTTGAACTTTCTTTTGTAACATATACACACACGCTCGCTCTCTTCTCCTCCTTTTTTGTTTCTCACTCATATACCGCACAGGGAGATACATCTCACTTGTATTGATTGTTTATTGCATATTCTTCCCAGCACCACCTCAACCACTCCCATAACAACAACAATAACCCTAACATCGCTACCTTACCGGTCTTCCCGTGAGGAAATGTTTACATTGCACAAATAATATCCCTATGCGCGCATACACAAACACTCGGGATACCGGCATCTGTTTCCTATAGTATACTTTACACTCCCCCATAATCCATTTCGATATTATAGCCTTTTGGCAAAGATTAGCTTGACGACGGCATTCAGCCTACGGTTTGAATTAGTATATCATCCATCATCTCCTCCTTGTATTCATTATTCAAATAACATCGCGTATCTTTGTCACTCAAGTAGCGTTAAAAGAGGGGTAAACGCTGAAACGCATTTTTGTCATTCATGGTCAGAGTAACCATGGGCCCCACCCCATGATCCATTGTTTACGATCCATCATTTCGACCTACCTTCTCCGACTTTTATCCATCCAGGTACCTTTATCACTTCTCTTAGATCCAAAATCAGGTGCATGTTTCCCGCTCGCAATAGATCGTTTAACATTTTGTGCATGGATACGGGCACTTTTTTCAATGCTGATGAGCATGGTAACCCAACAATTGAGTACAAGACGAGCCATTACCCATACATGAGACGACAAAGCATTATGAGAATGAACACACCGGAGAGCTTAATGTAATACCATCAAGCCTTTTTCCTTCACTGTTACCTTTCTTGACAATCGGGCGCAGTAAAGGCCGCAACCAAACGTGCGTCGGTATACCACTTATGTCGTCGGATCACAAAAATCAAGGATGTCCCTTTTTTTGTGCTGTAAATTCAAGTTCCAATTTGTACAATGGTTACTCATGGGCGCCACTTGGTGTTGCTTGTTGAATGCAATTCCGTCGTCATGGTACCACACATAGCCATCAGCACCCGATCCACAGCATCAAGTGGAAGAAGCAGCTATCAATCATGTAATGGTGCCTGACGACGTGACGAGTGATCAATAATGCAGCTTTGATTTTGGTATGTCAAAGTTGATCTTTATTGTTCGACCTTCTCTCGTATACTTAAAGATGGTATCGAGGATAATAGCAAGCTTTTGATCACGTGACCAGAATCTCAAAAGAAAACAAAAGAAGACGCTCCTAGGTGGGCTCGAACCACCAACCTCCTGATTAACAGTCAGACGCGCTAGCCAATTGCGCCATAAGAGCTTCCTGCGCGCCGATGTTGAAAATACATGGTGGCCGAAAAAATTTCCATACATGGAAGACAAAAAGGTCGTCTAAACGTGTATGATATGGATGTCATTCGATTGCGGAATCCCTTGTGAATTGAATGGTGTAGATTGGAATACGATTGGGAAGATGTATCACAAGCAATTCACGATATGAGAGAATTCAATGGGATAAATCGTTCTCCGCGACGGGCTTTTATTTCATACCTGGCTGTTTTACGCTTATGCTATCCTTTTCAACGACCTCTTCTTTTATACCACCACCATTCATCGCCACTACAACGTACGTACGCAGTTATCAAGCTTGTGGAACTTAAAGACGAGAAAAAACAACCCATAACTTGCAGCATGGGACACGTCATTCGGTCGTATGTTCAACATTGCACGCATGCTCAACTTTAATGACTGAAGCTCGCCATGTTGACAACAGCTACATTTACAACTGACGCTCACGTTCAACAAAGGGATACAAAGAAAAGGAAAGGCTTGATAATGTGGTAACAAGGGAAGGGAGCTAAACAGGTATGTATAATCAACGAGATCCAGGTCTTCGACTTGTAATCGGTGTCCTTGGCAACATGTATGTCTACAACAGAGCTAGCGTGGTGGGTTGTATTTCAATGACATGATCAAAGGAGCAGAGGATTCAGTTTGAAGAATTTGGCAAGAAGATGGTCATCGACAGCTGGTGGATTGAATCAGGACGCTCGAGATTTATGGCAAGGCAAAGGGAATGATCAATGGTTACGGTGATGACTACAGCATACTTGCATCGGGTTTCGTTGTGATTGGGAGGGGAGAGGTAGGGTATTGCTTATAGACGTTCGCTTGTACAGCTTGTGTCGATATCCATAGCTTGAAAGATAAAGGTGAAGAGGCTTTTATAAAGCAGTGTTTATTGCATTTCATATCATCTGATGTTGTATGAGTAGTGTTGGATAAGGAATAGTACTAATACTGGTTGATGGGACACCTCTCATATGGGGATGATGCAACAAGGCTTGATGTCTGGGATATGACAAGTGGTTCGTGCATGTAATCGTCTCAGGTCGCGCTTGATTATCTTTATCTCTTACCCAATAACACAATGCCAACTTTGGAACCTTTGCCAGACGACGCCAAATCGAGTCCATTTATCCTTAACAACAACACCGATGCCAACCGCGATTTCGACTCCTTGACCAAGGAAGAGCAGGATGCCTTGCTTGACCATGTAGCTGCTGAATTCGCCCAAGATCCTAAAGCTATGGAACGACTTGCCGCCAAGTTTCTCCAAGAAGCGAAACGAGGTGACTTTCGAGACGTGAACGTACAACCACAACCGGGCTATGTATGCAAAACGAAAGTTGTCAAGTGCAGCAACAAAAAGTATGCCTCTGGCACTGTGGTATACATCAACATCTGCTATGCGGACGCCATCCCTGCACCACCTGTCATGCCCGAAAGCGAGATAGAAAAGGCATTCAATGCTGATCCCACTGCAACATACCGTGTCCCTGTCAGCCTGGGTCAAGAGCGTAATGAACATGATAATGGTAATATGGCTTTGGATGGGAGAATGTATGATACAAGTACGCTTATTATGTTAACATCACTTTTAGCTGGCAAACCTGCATTAATCTTTGATGCATGTATCAACACACAACCTTATATGAGATCCGAACGTCACCTTGAGTTTCGCTTATACATATTGGAACTATGCATTGAGTTGATTGAGGAGCGGATATCGGTAGAGCTTAGCAGAGGTAAGAGATAGCCGCAATATCGATGATGGAAGTGATTGACGTTGCTCATGTTGATAGAATTCACGATGCCTAAAACGCCATCCAAGGGAGAAATTCCAGCACGTGTATTACGTTTACCAAAGCCTGCGCTTGTGTCTGCTGTCAGGAATCAAAAGAAGCCTAAGAAGGAGGAAAAGAGCAAACCGATCATATCAGTGGATGAAGCACGAAGCATGCTCAAAGTAGTTATCCCTCAAATGCCAGCATTGGTAAGCCATTCTTCACAATATCAAATGACATTACTAAATCATGGTGATATAGTCATCATCATCATGGTCTTTGGATATTGAACCCACTCAGCTGCTATTAGGAGGTGTTGGCAGTAGCCTAGTCAAAATTGCATTACCACGACCTGTCAAAGTGGATGATACCACCAACACTGCTACGTTTTACAAAAAGAGTCTCGACCTTGTAATTGAACTCGCCCTTGCCCCTCGTAAACAATACTTGTAACACAATTACTATTGTACTTTTTTTTATCGCATTGATCAAATGAAAACATGCTTTTCTATAATGAAATAATGTATCTACAAAGTGCTCAAAAACTCCTGTACTGGCTTTGCCTTGTCCTCTTGTCCATTCTCCAATAGAGCGTTTGCGAGTTTGTCTAATGCAGACTTGGCATCCACCTTATTCTCGATCTCTTGTGAAGCAACCAATTCCTCAGCAGTCAACACAGCCTTTTCCAAGCTCTCTTCATCAGCGGTTGCTAAGCATCCTTCCAACAACGAGTTGTACATGGCGCCTGTCCTTGTGTGTGCGTACAAAGGAACCATAGCAAGGGTGACAAATGCCTTATCAAGGTCGTTGGCAGCAAGCGAAGCGATCGTCTTTTCGAAATCGGTCTTTGCAGGCAACAATCCATATCGTTGACGTTCGCCCAAGAGGGTATACGCCACATCACCTCGATTTGTTCGGCAGCATACATCGATAAGAGTGGAAGAGGTGTAAGGAGTGACAGGAAGAAGCTTGTTGCGCCATTGTTCGACGAGTACGGGCAATTGTTCAACTTGTTCAGCGGTGGTAGCGTGATGGATCAAATTGTTGAGTCGTGAATGCTTTGGAATGATATGCATGTCTTTGGGATCTTTGGTCTCGGCAAGCAATGCTTCATACAAGGTGCTGAAAGTAGCATTGTCATTGGAAGGTGCGGATTCTTTGGCTTTGTTCAAAAGAGTCTCTTCAGCTTGCTTCTGCATCTCGGCTTCAAGAAGCTCTGGGTCATCCTCATCAAGCAACTCTACTGTGCCTTTGCCCTTTTTCGCTTTCAATACTATGCAATGGATCATATCAGTTATTGATGCCACATTCGAATACGGCCGCAAACTCCAACTTACACGTAACAGAAGGTCTCAAGGCGTGAAAGGCTGCCGATGGTTGACGTGCAACGGCGAATGCTGGGCGAGCTAATGGTGATCGTGTTCAATTGCTATGTTCCCTTGGTGTATACATTATCGACTTACGAGCATGAATTGCCTGTCTCAGTGGTGTCAAGGATCGTGCAACAGATCGGAACGCCATGGCGGTAAGAGAAGTTGTAACAAAGAGCCACAAGCAAGAAACGGGCTTCTTTGTGTAAACATTTTGGATGTGACTGACTGACAACCTTCTCTCCCACATGGCCCCCAATGCGATTCCATTATCGATAGCTATGGTCTTCTCTCACATTAGAGTCTCTATTAGTATGCCTGTTTTGAATCAATAGAAGTATTTTTATCATTGGGGTATCGATACATTAGCTGCAAAACCATGTGACCTATTGAAATCGGATCGGGTGAATCTTCGTAGTATAGTGGCAACAAGTGCTTCAACATGCATCCCGATTTCAGGGGGAGTGCATATGGTCAGTGCAAGATAATAACCTGCACCATGACGATGTCACTGGATTTAAATTGTCATTGCACCTATTCCCCTGGTAACTAGTGTTCCATTCACCTGATGTTGTCTTGGACCTTTCCGTGATAATAAACGCACCACGGCTACACCCCAACACCCGGATTTCAAACACTTTGCCCCAATCTATTGCCATGTTTGAAATTACACTTGGCTATTCTTCCATCAGCCAACAACACCTTTATGTTATTGCTTGGCAGTAATGGTGTGTCATGTTTTGCGTTGATACTTACATAGCTTGTAAACAACATGCATTTGTATTGATGTTATCCGTGGCACTGATAGAGTTATGTTTTTGTTTATGCGATTGCAAAAGCTGCTAAATATATATATACATTTGGGGATACAGCATGCTTCATTTATTATGCCAGCTTTGGAAACGTCGTTGTCTAAACAGATCTCACTTCCATCCATCATCCCCCAGGTTTGCAATTTGTCAGCTTGGTGTTGCCTTGTTGAATTATATATAAAGGACAGCAACAACAACAACATTGTGTCCTTTTTTTCGCATCCACCTCCAGATCATGTTTCTATTTGTAACCTTATTGGTGACGGTGGCTCTAGTTGCCATCATAATAATGCCTACCAACGGCAACGCCACACTCATCCCCGATGCTTACATTGTCGAATACTCGGACAAGCAACAAGGCAATTCCATTCTATCCTCGCTAGATCGGCTAACACATCCATATCATATACGGCAGACGTATGCATCACCTGTTTTTAATGGTTTATCACTGCATTTATCAGCCGCATCACGTAATTCGACCAACAACAATAACGAATCCATCACTGAAGCAATCGATAACATCCATCCAATCCTTGCCTATTTATATGCACATCCAGGCGTGCGTAGAGTGTATCCTGTACGCAATGTCCCACGGCCACAATGGGTGGATCGGAAGGATATAAATGAGACGTCATCTCTTCCATACGATAACAACTTGACGCAGCTGAAGGGGATGTATGGTGAAATGAAGCTTACAGGTGCTGGGGTTACAGTGGGAATCATCGACTCTGGTAAGCAACAAAGAAATCATTGAATGAGCCTTGGCTTATGTATCAATACAAAGGTGTGGATTATGATCATCCAGCATTTGGAGGCTTTGGAGCAGCTCACAAGATAAGGTTTGGGCATAATTTTGTCGATCCAGCTAATGACGATGAGCACGCTGGGAGTCATCGGTTGGAGAATGACCCTTATGACCTTTGTCCTGGAAACGATGGAGGTGAGTTGTTTCGATGCATCTATTGTATCTTGTGCCAAAGCATCATCCTCATGGTTTTATTATACTAGGACATGGAACGCATGTCACTGGGATAGTGAGCGGTGTAGATATGAGCAAGGTAAGCATGTTGTATGCAAGATAATGACATCTCAATGCCACCTGATTGCTCATCTCGCATATAGAATTTCTCGGGAATAGCTCCAAACGTGACCATTGGTGCGTACCGTATCTTTGGATGTACCGGTGGAGCAGCAGAAGATGTTGTTATCAAGGCAATGGAGATGGCGTATGAAGCAGGTACTTGGTTGGATTCAGTAAGGATGATAGGATTCTTTTTAACATGGGGGTCATCCATAGGATGCGATATTATCAACCTGAGTCTTAGTGTTGAATCAGCGTGGCCTGAGAATCCAATGGCCGTCGTTGCTGATAGGTTGGCTCAAAAGGGTGCCATAGGTAATTGCTCTTTTGACCTTGTACATTGCATGCACACGTTACTCATGTTTTTGTTTCAAGTTGTCACTGTGGCGGGGAATCAAGGGGGGCAAGGGGTATTTATGCAAACTAGCCCTGGTTCAGGCACGCGCGCTCTTACAGTGGGATCCATGGAAAATACTTTTCGTTATGACAAGGTTCTTCATGCGAGTATCTTCCCCAATCGATCTTATTGTAAGTAGAGTGAAAATGATGATAACGTCCATTATGGCTTATATAGCATGTTTATTATTACAGCGTATGCATTGTCAACATCAACCGAAAGCATGCCTGATGGGAAAACGTTGGCTATCGTTTTTGATGAAGAAAAGGACGTGGTGGATGGATGTTCAAACAGCACCTTGGAGCAAGCTTTTACACGTGACAAGATCTTGCTTCTTCGTCGAGGCAGCTGCTCATATGATGACAAGCTAGAGATTGCAAAGCAACTTGGAGCAGCCGGTGTTCTTTTCTTTGATGAAGGAGCTTCCAAAGACAACAATGATGAAGAGCCTTTGTTAACGAAAACATCAGCTGGCACTATTCCTTCAGCTGGGATAGCTAACAATGTCGCCACAAAGCTAGTCAAGCATTATCGTACCAACACATCAATGACCGACATTGTCCTTTCTTTTCCAAGCAAACCAAAAAAGATTCCCGTCGACGGACCATTACGCATGTCGTCCTTTTCTAGTACAGGCCCAACCTATGAACTTGGACTTAAGCCCACAATCACTGGAATTGGATCAGACGTATTCTCCACACTACCACGTCATATCAATGGTGGATGGGGTATTTTATCAGGTACATCAATGGCATCTCCACAAGTGGCAGGTATGGCTGCATTGATGCTTGAATGGTATCGGCGAAAGGGGATCACCAAACTTGATCCAGTTTTTTTGGCGGAGCTGATGCAAAATCATGCAATGCATGTACCTTACGATGGGACACCAGAACATCCCCTTCGACAAGGTGCAGGGTTTATACAACGTGAGTTGAAGACAATGATGCTAAAAGATGATCCATAATAACGCTTGTCAATTTTAACTCATAGCAATGGATGCTCTTCAAAGCACTGTACATGTGTCCCCTGGATACTTGAGCTTTAATGACACCGACAACTTGCAAAACATACATCAGCTACGCATCACGAATGGAGGCAGCAACAAAATTACCCTTGATCTCAGCAACAGGGTGTCTCAAGCTATCCTCCCCTTCAATGGATCAACTGGATACACGCCATCGGAGCCTAGTGCTCGAGATAATACATCGGTGAGCCTGGTCTTTACACCACCTCATGTTGTAGTACAGCCTGGAGAATCAATCAATGTCCAAGTAGCCATTCATCTTCCCAGCAATGAATCAACTCCGTGGCGGTATCAAATGTATGGTGGATTCATCGAGATGTCTCATAAGGGAAGCAACAAGGTGGATGCAAGTGTACCCTATTTTGGAGTATTGGGTAGCGTTCATGACTTGCCCTTGTTCGACGCTGGATATCCATATCTTACATCATCCAGTGATGCATCATACAACAGCTCTGACACCTTTATTTTTAATGTGACAGCACAAGAGGAAGTCCCCAAGATAGTATATCGCCTATTGACGGCAACAGCACGTGCGGATATCAATGTTGTGGATGAGAGGAATACTGTGATCGGCGCTATCGATGGTGGTCCATACACCTATTTGGATCGTAACAACTTGCAAGACGACGACAAGCATAGCTCAATTGAGTGGAATGGTCGTATTGTTGATCCACATGACACCTCAAACAGTAATACGGAATCGGTATTGATACAGCCAGGCACGTATAGATTACACATGCGAGCATTACGGCTACTTGGTGATCCTCAGAATGCTAGCAGTTGGCAAGAATGGATATCAAGTCCGATCATGGTTGTGAATTGAACGTGTACTTTGTATTTCTTTTTGATTGTATAATCTAGTTTGTATGATAGCATGCTGTTGTTTCATTAATAAATGTAAGACATAACATACCAACCACTCAAACACATTGAAAAACAACGTGCTAATTTATGCCATGCATTCCATACTACCTTAACAGGTCTGTTGACAACAAAGTATGTGATTCGCAAATGGTTGCCATGCCACCGTTATCCAAGCATGTTCTATTCTTCTCTGATGCAGTTAAAAAGTCATCCTGGAGAGCGACCTTCTTGCGAGACAAGAAGACCAATTTTGCGTCTCGTGCTTCATGCAATTTCAAACAAGATACTTTGGGATGCAATGATCGTTTTTGGCCTATTAACCATACCATGGTCAATTCAACAAAAATGCCATACGGGCTATCATAGGCGGACGTTGCTACAGGGATATAGGGGTAAATATCGATTATGCAATCTCCGCCAATAGGGTCGACCCTTCAACTCCTGCCCCTGGGCTTTGTGGCACCATCAAGCCCTTCTGCATCTTTGGCTCTATTAGGCTTTAGCTACTTAACAATGAACAAAGACCACCTTTCATATAGCAACACGCTTACAGCATTGTGAAAACATAAAGATGCCTGTATCTCTAAACTTTATAATCAAACGCGAGGTCTTTAATAGAACCATGTTGCTCGGCGGGGTCAAAGGAATCTTGTGTGCAAATTTCACGTTCATCGTTGCCAATCCCAGATTCACCCAATGTAGCTACCAGCCAAAAAAATTTCAAGAGGTCGATCCACTTTGGCTGGTGGCGACATTTAGCAAATCCGGGATTGCCCACCTCGGTCGTGAAACTTCCATACATATTAAATACCTTTCGACCCCGCCGAGCAACTTTGTTCTATCCAAAATCCCACTGCTCATTGTAAGATTTTGAGATATGGAAGTCTTTACGTTTCTACTATGCCGTAAGCGTGATGGAGCTGCTTCCTCCTAATGGATGATGTCGACTGCATGACGGAAAGATGGAGAGCTGAGTGAAAGGCACGTAATGGTCGCACAAACACGTCCTTGACAAGTTGCTGCACAAATGCATGATGATGATGATTGCCTTTTGTGTAGGTATGTAAGTAAACAACATCCAATAGTGAAGGTGTGTTAAGGTACGTGTATGACAATAGTGGTTCCATATCACATTTGCATGTAGGAGAAGGACGAGCCGCACATGTAAACCAATTTGTATAGTAATCAATTCAATGATGGATCACTAATCCTGAAACTCACTGGAGGGATCACTTGTGGATGGTGTATGTGGGGTCATTGAGTGGCTTCAGTGTAATAGCAGTAGGGGATTTAAACTTGGGGATGGTAGCTCCACGACTTGAGACAACGCTTCTCTTCTCTTTCTCCCTCCTCTGCTTTTATCCCATTCACGGCATTGCGATCAAGGTAATGTAATGGAAAAGAGTGCTCTTGTTGACTGTGAGGTGTTAATGTAGTTCTGAACATGCATTGTCAGGGAGAGTGAGTGTGACCAAGTGCTGAGGAATGAGCGTGGTTGGTGGTTGGTGGTTGCCATGGCGATATTGTTGCTTCCTTTTGCACGTTGCTATTCCCGCTCTACGCTTGGTGTCAACAGGTACATTCAGAGTCCAATGTTGCAGCCGAATTGGTTCCATTGACGCGTCAGCTTGTATAGAGGGCAAGTTTGGTTTCAAGACGTTGGCTGGTTTGGCGTTTTGTTTCGCATCAACTATACGACACCATGGTTTTTCGGTTTCCAGTAACCAACAACAACGGGTCTTTGTGTATATGGAAAAGGCAAGTACAATGAAACAAACAATGAAAAGGGTGTTTATTGTGCGTGTGTGTTAATAATGAATCGAATAGCTTTCTTTGGTCAGGCAAATGCAACTTGGGGCATCATCATCATCTCTTTGGGTTCAAGTCCCAGCCTGTATCAAGTGGCCGCTGCGTCGCTCTGCACTAGCCAACTGTGCTGGAAAAGCTTCTTGGAACGCGTCCAGGGCTCTATAGGCCTGCGTTGAGGTGATGGGTCAACGACGATGGATTTTTGGAAGAGCATGGTCACCGTGTTGAGGTAAAAGGGGATTTGCAACAGCTTGTGAATGTGTTGGACCAACATGCTCTTCTCGTGATAGGCTCGTTCTTTCCCTTGAGGATTTCTTTTCATGAGGTGGGAAAATGATTGGAAGGATCGGGATCATTCTTTCTTTGGAGAGGATGAATGAGAACAACTATGAGCCTAGACTCTACGTAAGTGATGTCCTTCCTTGCCATGGATCGAAGTTGCCTTGCGTGATTCGTGCAGTGCCTTCTCAAGAACAAGGGATCGCCCGACGTTGCTCGTATGGTGGTGATTTGGTTTGTGAATTCCTTCTGATTAGCTTTCATCCTTGGAGAGGATCGCCTAACGGTATACCAAATCGTCATCATTCCGGTACCAGATGGTCTAACTTGCCTGCTTTCTTATATGTAGAGACGACGATTACCATGATTACCACATTCACAACAATGACGATTACGATGATCACCCCATCTACAACAATGACAATGATGGCGACAACGAGATTCAAAAGGAAGCCTGCAAGATCCCATTCTTATCAACTTGTGTATTTTTGGATGTTGGTATGACGGATGAGATTGACTGGCGACGAGTACGCAGGAATGATGACGGAGGACGACTACGACGATGGTGATGGCACAAGGTAGCAAGATAATGGGACAGCATGACGGATTTCAGGGATTACATGTTATTGTTGAAGACGGAATAAAAAGGGTCTCGGTTGCAGGGGCTTTGTAATGGTGAGCGTAGGATTTGCTTTCGGAGAGAAAAAGGAAAGAGGACTCACTCAATATGTATACCTATCTGTATACAAATTGGTTTATGCAGCTCGACTTTCTTCTACATGCAAATGTGATGCATGCCTGACACACTTTCATTATCTGATGTTTGTTTACGTACGCAGTAATCATCATCCATTTTAGCAATTCTCCAAGTCAAAGGACGTGGTCTGTACCAATTAATGCGTACACAGCTCCCCACCTTCCAGCACGCATGTCGACACCATCCACTAGAAAGAACACGCTTACAGCATAGGTAAACATAACGTGTTTGCAAATTTGAATTTTACACAACGTGGGCTTATTATTCGGAATGTGCTCGGCTTGGTCAACAGCACCTTGTGTGAAAGTTTCGCGTTCAATGTCGCAAACAGCCCAAGAAATATTTTTGGTCGTCGTCGTCGAAGAGGTCGACCCCCAGATCCAGTTTGGCTGGTAGCGATGACGTTGCGAAATCTGGGATTGGCAAGCTTCTTGATCGTGAAACTTTCACAAATAAGGTGTTGGCCAAGCCGAGCCCATTGCTCTAATAAAAACCCTTACGTTTGATTGTAGAGTTCGGAGATACAGGCACCTTTATGTTTGTAAGTAGTGCTATATGAAGAGTGGTCTTTGTTCATTGTCAAGTAGGTGGACCCTGGCAGGAGCAAAAGATGCAGAAGGACCTTCGGTTTAACTCAGCTAGAAAGTCAGGATTTTGTATAACAAGAGTTGTGTACGCAACCCTCACTTTTATGTCATACATTGGCAGCTGACAGCCACTTTTGTGCATTCCCAACTTTTGTGCATTCTATTAGGTGAGATGCTCCTGCTCTAGACATTCATTTCCATGATTAAAGTAGGTTGATCCGAGCTGATTTGGTTGAGTTACGCCACACAAGATTACATCGGTTGAGCTACATCGAGCGTGCTTTATGTGCAGAGTGATGTAATCTCTCTTTGACCGCAGTCAAATCAGCTCGGATCATCCTACTTTGTCTGAAATTGAATAAGTCTGGAGCAGGGGCATCGTTCCCATGCAGTGGATCTCGCAACAATGATGACTGATACAAGTGGTCGTTAGCTACAATACATGCCTGTTCCTAGATGATCCATAAAGTAATTATACAATGACCCTTTCATTCATGCAAACGTAGCTTGTGTTACACAACACGACCCTCTGCATCTTTTGCTCTGTCAGGGTCTAGCTACTTTACATTAAACAAAGACCACTCTTCTTATAGCATCACGCTTACAAACATAAAGGGCTAGAGCCCCAAACTTTACAATGAAACGCGGGGTTTTGAATAGAGCAATGCTCGGCTTGGCCAACAGCACCTTGTGTGAAAGTTTCACGATCAAGCTTGCCAATCCCAGATTTCGCAACGTCGCTACCAGCCAAACTGGATCTGGGGTCGACCTCTTCGACGACGACGACCAAAAATATTTCTGGGCTGTTTGCGACATTGAACGCGAAACTTTCACACAAGGTGCTGTTGACCAAGCCGAGCACATTGCTCTAATAAAAACCCCACGTTTGATTGTAAAGTTCGAGATACAGGCACGTTTATGTTTTACCTATGCTGTAAGCGTGATGGAGTTGCTTTTTCCTAGTGGATGGTGTCGGCTGCATTAACGGAAAGATGAAGAGCTGAGTGAAACCGCACGTGGTGGTTACACAGACCACGTCCTTGACAGGTTGCTACACAAATGGATGATGATGATGATTGCCTTTTGTGAAGGTACGTAAGTAAACAGCATCCAATAATGAAGGTGTGTGTCAAGGTATGCATCACATTTGCATGTAGAAGAAAGTCGAGCTGCATAAACCAATTTGTATATGTAAAAAGATAGGTATACATATTGAATGAGTCACCTTTATCCTGAAACTCAATGGAGGGATCTTCTTCACTTTTTCTCTTCTCAAGCTCATCCCACTTCCCACTCCTCCTTATTGTATTACAAAAGCCATATACTCCTTGCATGACCGATAACTTCAATACCTTTATTATTCCGTCTTCGAAGCAATAGCATGTAATCCACAAGCTAGCAAAGTCCAAGCGTGTAATAAATAAACAATGCTTTCATTCCATCTAGCTATCTTGTTAAGCATTGCCACCATCGTCGTCTTCGTCCTCCGTCATCATCCATACAGTACTCGTACTCGTCAGCAGTCTTCAGTCTCCTCGTCAACAATATCAGAAACACACAAATGTATGGCCCAACATTCCTGCTGACACTTCGACAAGTAATCACCATGATTCTCATCCACGCAGCACAACCATTCCAAATCCAAATCCAAATCCGTATCCAAATCCATATCCAAACCCATATCCATATCCATATCCAAATCCATATCCATATCCACATCCACATCCACATCCACATCCATATCCATATCCATCCATAAGAAGTCCTGTAGATATTGGTACTTCGAAATACGACAACCATGAGAGCGGATGACCCCGCCTGAACTTGAAAATTGGTCAGAAGGTTCGCTCGGACACGCTGATCACCTTGTCTAATAAAGACCCTACACTTCATTATGATGATTTTGAATGGGCCTTTCAAGATTGTACAATCAAACACGGCATGGCTACATAAAACATAATATGTCAGAAAGGGTCACGTGATCTAAAAGACATTCATGCATTGACAAAGTCTCTCAGGCCCGACACTTGAGATACATTGATGGCCAAAAGAATCTCTTTGTAGTCTATTGTATTATGAAAATATACATCAAAAAGTTTCAAATTGATCATCAATTCTGTCGAAAGGGTATTGTATGCATATTCATTGACTGGAAGTAGTTGCCTTGACCTTGTCTATAAAGGATGGGAAGAAACAGGGCTCAGTATACATATCACCAACCCCAACAAGCCTTCTATGGATATCACTTACGGTCGTCCCATTGGTAGAAACTAGCTATAGGGTTGTCTCCCATCACTTGCTTGAAATTTTGCCTGTGATCCTGAAATCAATCATACTGCACTTTTCTTGTATGTTCAACACTTACTTGTAGCCCAAGTCCCATGGATTGAAATGTCGATTACGCATGATATCAACACGTCCATTCCTGCTACGTCCCATCTTGAAGTTGGCTTTCTGTACGTCTCAATAGTCGTTCGATTCTTGACGATTTGCCGTGTGTGGAATATTGTGAATGGTAATAGGAATAAGCCGAAGATGCCAGAAATAAAGAGCAGCAGAGGCCAATTGAAATCAAGACCAAATATAATTTTACATCATCATCCATAAGTCTCTTCCTCATGCATGAATCCAGGGTGACTGAGCGAAACCTTACTATTGGTCCATTCACCATGTCGATGGTAGGGGGTAATGTAGTGAGGAATACGTATAGGCAAAGAAGAGATGAGCAATACGTAACTGAACGAAGTACAAT